GAAAAAGGTTACTTCCCAATGAAATATCTAGGCCTCTCAATCTCTCCAACAATATGGAGTAAAGGAGATTGTCAGATTCTGTTGGAAAAAAACACTGCAAGGCTGAAATGTTGGACAACAAGGCATCTCTCATACGCAGGCAGAGTTGTGCTGATCAACGCAATACTTCTCAGTTTGCATTCTTATTGGGTAGGGATTTTTCTAATTCCACAGAGCATTATACAATAGATCATCAACTGTTGTAGAAGTTTCTTGTGGGGAAAGAAAGAAAATGGCAGAACCTTAAAACTAGTGGCATGGAATGATGTATGCAAAAAGAAGAATGAGGGGGGAATAAATATCAGAGATCCAAATATCTGGAATAAGGCATTGATGGGAAAGCAATTATGGGATTTAGCAAGCAAGAAGGAGAGTCTATGGGTAAAGTGGATGCATGTTTATTACTTAAAGAACCAATCGATCTGGGATTATAAATTGCCAAGAGACAGTAGCTGGCACTGGAAAAAGCTCTTAAAGATCAGGGATGATTTAAAAACTGGAGTGCAGAATGGTGTTTGGCAGGGAAATGATAAGAAGTATACACCATGAAGTGGTTATATATGGCTTAAAGGACCCGAAAATGCGCTGAAAGAGGCAAAAATCATATGGTCAAGATACACTGTGCCAAAGCACTGTTTCATAAGTTGGCTAGCATGGAAGAAACGGCTGTTAACAACAGAAAGGCTGCTGCATTTGAATGTTATCATTCCCGATAAGCAATGCAAATTCTGTGGAAGTCAAGATGAAACATGTGATCACTTGTTCTTTAATTGCCAGTATGCTAAGGAGGTGATGGAAGGAGTTCTAACATGGCTGGGAGTTCACAGGGGGATCACTGAGCTGAGGAAGGAAGTTCTAATGAAAATCTGGAGGTTCAAAAAGCTAGAAAAAGAAGTGCTACATGCAGCTATCAATGCTGTCATATATCACATGTGGATTGAAAGAAATGCCAGGCGTTTTGGGATCAAATGTATATCAGCAACAGACAAAGTAGAGGTGATAAAGAGTGAAATCAGAATGACAGTCAGTAGCCTTTGTAAAAAGGTTAAAAATACTGAAAAGCAAACCTTGGGAAAGCTAGGGATTAATCTATTATGTACATAGTATAGCTCATAGAGGATAGCTGACAGGATGATGTACAAATGGGTGAGGTTCTTTTTGATCAATACAACTTTACATTTTAACCAAAAAAAAAAAAAAAATTACATTCTCTATGGGCGTGACTAAGTTTCACAGTCCAATCCCTATTCAACAGCTCCCTTACCGCTCTCAATAGGTTCTCATGCGCGCACGAGGACGTTTTGTTGTCAAGAGCTGATGCCTCAATCCTTCTCTATCCAAGATCCCATGCTAAGCTAAGTCCATAATACAATCCCCAAAGATCTGCACCCGTGATGAAACAATAACCAATGTTCATGAGAAATCCTCCTCTCCAATTCCCGAAATTGTCTCTAATTGCTCCCCCAGCCGTGGCCAATCCTGTCAAATTATCTACAGCACCATCGGCGTTCAATTTCAAGTAGGGTGCCACTGGCGGTTTCCAAGCCAACATTCTCAATTCTTTACATATAATAGGTGCACCCATCACTTTTCTGTGAAGAATGGAATCTTTCACTTGCCTGAGTTTTTGATGAATCTCCCTCTCCATTTGATGCATCGTTGGATTGGTCCCCTCAAACACAGATTCATTCCTCCATTTCCATAGTTTCCACACCGCGGTCCCGAATAGTAGCGGCTAGTTTCCAGGGAGGTTCAACCTATTCTGAATGTTGCCCAACAACCATTCTTGTATTGAAGGTTGGTCAATAGCCGGAACCAAAGCGGCCCAAATTTCTTGTGCAATGGGGCAGTCCCTAACTGCGTGCAACGCACTCTCCTGTAGTGCACTACACCTTGAACTGGAAGCGTCGATAGAAAGGTGGCATCACATTCGTTCCAGATTGGTTAAAAGTCTTGACTTAGCCAACAACCAGAGGAAAGTCCGGATTCTCTGCAGTCCCTCCCATGTACAAACTTGTCTCCAAATCACATGCCTACCTCCCTGAAGCTCGTTTGTTATCAACGAATATGCTGATTTAACCGAGAAGGTCCCATTAGGTTCAAAAGCCCAAATCATCGCATCCTCCCCTAAAATTGGATTGGGGGTTGGAGTAGCAGCAATCCTTAGCAGAGCTGACGCTGGAAGGTTATCTCCAAAGCGCTCCCATCTCCACTGTCCTTGTTCATAAGTGAACCTATTGACTGTCCATTGCAAATGTACTTCTTGTACACCATTGAGCACGATCGCATGAAGGGGTGGGAGGCCCACCAGCCAATGGTCTGTCCAAAATTTTACTTTGGAACCATCATTAACAACCCACCTCAGGCCTCGTTTGACTTGTGGCCATGATTTACTTATTCCCCTAAAGCACACTGATGTGTTGAGCCTATCAGGCAAGTCTAGCCCAATCTGGAAGTTAATTCTATACTTTGCTGTCACAACCCTTCGCCCAAAGAGGCCTACTTCCCTTTGCCAGTTGCCAGCCCAACTTCATCATAAAGGCTCTGTTCATTTCTCTTATGTTCTTTAACCCCAGCCCACCACTCATCTTACCCCGGCATACCTCGTTCCATGGAACCAGACTAATTTTCCTGTTCTCAGCCGCTCCAGTCCACACAAACCTCCTGCTGATCTTTTCCAAGTCATCGCAAACTGCGATCGGATAATACGGCAATGCACCAAGCACTGCATGTGCAAGCGTTACCCTGCCAGCAAATGACAGAGATTTTGCAGCCCAACCACTCAATTTCTTCTTCTTCTAAATGATGGGCACGTAAGTCTTCTTGGTCACTCTCCCGTGCATCACTGGCATCCCTAGGTATTTTCCCATGTCATTCACAGTTGAAAATCCCATCTTTACAGCCAACAACTTTTTCCTCTTTGCATGAACATTCCTCGAAAAGTGGACTTTTGTCTTTGTGGGACTGACTTTGAGGCCTGACGAGGTACAAAAACTCTGTAGTAGTGCAGCAGCCATCTCCACTTGTCCCTCTGAGGCTTCAAGGAAGAGGAAATTATATCATCTGCAAAAAAGCAAGTAGGGGACTTGCAGTTTCTCCTTTCCAAAAACTATTGGCTTCCACTCCTTAGATTCCACCTTCTTCGAGATTGCATGAGCGAGCCTTTCTATACACAGTACGAATAATTACGGGGAAATTAGATCCCCCTGTCGAATACCTCTTGTTGGTTTGAAGCTCTGTGATGGGGCTCCATTCCACAAGACTTGCATTGAAGGACTTGAGACACAATCCATGATGGCTCGAATGAGAATTGTGGGAATATATACCAGCCTGTTGTAGAGTTTCAGCAATGAAATCCCACCTTACCATGTCGTAAGCTTTTTCTAGATCTATCTTCACTGCCATAAATTCCTTCTTTCCCCTCATATTCCGCATTGAGTGACTCACCTCTTGGACCACGATAATATTCTCATTAATATGCCTTCCTGGCACAAAACTTGTTTGTGCCGGTCCAATGATGTTCGGAAGAATGGTTTTCAATCTGTTGGCCAAAAGTTTCGGCGTAAGCTTGTACACTACATTACAGAGACTGATTGGCCTGAAGCACCTTATAGAGTCAGGGTTGTCAACTTTCGGTACGAGTACAATGAAAGTGTTGTTCAAACCCTCAGGCATCCCTTCCCTTCCAAGATTAATCGAACCGTGTTACAAACGGACTGCCCCACAACTGGCCATTGTTTCTGGAAAAATAAAGCATGAAGACCCGTCTGGACCCGGCGCCTTTAAGGCATTCATGTCATTCAGTACACGTACAATTTCATCATCCCCCACTGTTCTATTCAAGTTTACCATCTGTGAGGGCTGTTCGGAAGGAAAACACTCCCTAATATGGTACTCTACATACGGAGACAGGTCAGCAACATAGACATTGTGAAAGAAATCTGTGGCCATCTCTCTAAGTTTCTCCTGGTCATAATCCAATTTCCATCATCATTTAACAGAGCCTCCACCTTATTCCTCCTTGTTCTGCCCTTCGCAAAATCATGGTAGAACCTTGTATTCTTATCACCATCAGAATTCCATTGCCCGGTCGACTTTTGGATCCATAATGTTTTCCTCTTGCGCCAAAATGAGGTCCAAATCACCTTGAATCTCTCTTTCCAAATTATCAAGAAATAGAGATTTGGTTGTTTCTCTGGCCTTTTGAATCCCCGCCAATCTAGCAAGTTCCCTCCTTTTCTTGTGATATACATTACCAAAAACCTCCCGATTCCATGTCTGAGCTGAAAGTTTGAATTCTGATGCCGCCTCCGGAAACTCCAAGTCCCTCCTCCATGCTTGGTTAACAAAGTTTGGGAAGTCTTGGTGAAGCAACCACGCTGCTTAATGTGTAGAACTACGAATTTATGCTTAGGAGAGGTGTTACATTTCTTTTAGGTGTTAAATGATAGGTGTTACATTTCGTGAAGTAACCACGCTCCTCCATGATAGGTGTTACATTTCTTTTAGTTAATTTTATGCTTAGGATTCATGATTTTGAATGTGTAGAACTAGGAATTTATTTATATCAACTACATTGTTTTTGAGACAGTAGTATGTTTTCTCAAATAATGATCCATAACCTACATTGAATACAAGAATTAGTATAAGGCCTTCTCTATTATGTTAATTCCAATAATTTATGTTCTGGGCATTAATTTAGAGGATTTTACATTGGATGTGATATGTCCCTATGTCACAATATAAACAAGTCATTTTATTAATTGTACTGGAGTAGTTCAGTAGCGCAGAATATATAGCTCAAGATGGAGAAAGCAAGATTATTGGCACTTACATTGGATGTGTTATGTCCATATGTCACAATATAAACAAGTCATTTTATTAATTGTACTGGAGTTGTTCAATAGCAGAATTATATAGCTCAAGATGGAGAAAGCAAGATTTTATTGTCACTCAATATATCCACAAAATGTCCACAAGTATGAGAATGATTATTACAGAGAGAGAAACGAAGCTCGTGACAAAAGCTTCTTGTATGTCTAAAAGTAAACTTACAAAAAGAAAAAAGAATAACGAAAAAAAAAAACTCTAGTTACTAATTACAAGGCCACCATTACTTTCTTTGTACGTGGCTGCATATATAGCTGTGGCCTTATTGATCATAATTCAATTTTGTATCTCCAGGCCGATTAACAATATATAAATTCTCTACAACTTTGTTCCTTTTTCCTTTGCATTGTGTACCAGAAAAAAAAAAATCCTCTACAAGAAATTAACGAGACACCCTCTGGAAACATATAATCTTTGGCTTAAAGGTAAGGAGAGAAAGAGAGAAAAGAAATGTATATGAAATCTCCAAAGCTTCAAGCAAATTGTCGAGCTCCCAGATCTTTTCTACTTGCCGGAAAAACCCTTTTACGACCGGACCGGACCAGATAAAACCAGTAACCCTAAAGTGTCTTTCCAACCGGAACACTAAGCTATATATATGGATCCAACCCACCGGACTAGTGATTGATCACCAGCTAGTCTTTTGAAGTTGATGATCAGGAGGAAAAGGGAAGGAAGACGAAACATCTTTCATAAGTTCCTCAAAATCCCATTCCCCAACTGACCTTAATTCATCAGATCCTTCCCAATTATTATAACCTCCAAACCCTCCTCCTCCTCCTCCTCCTCCTCCAGCCCCTATGTTAGGGTTTCTATCCGGGTTGAAATTCGCGGTGGCGTTTTTCTCAACGTTTAATGTTGTTGGAACGAAAACTTGTCCTTGATGATGATCCTCTCCTCCTCCATTTATAATGTTGTTGTTGTTTGCTCCAAAAATATTGGCTCTCTCATCATAATTATAAAGAGAACTACCAGAAGAAATGGAACTCTGATCAACCATCCAAGATTGAGGGTTAAAGTAGTTAGTTGTGCCAGCATTATTAGCACCAAATATTGCCAATGGATCATTAATCATGTTACCATGAGCTGCCATTGATGTTGGCCTGGAAGATGAAGCTGAATTTGAGGAGTTAGTCGAATCGGCCGCCATGTTGTTGTTGTACATTCCGTACATGGTTTGTTCTTGAATATTCGACATGTAACGCCCCGCAGCGGTCGCCATGATCACGTCCGATGAAGATGAATTCTCACTGTTGTTCGGTGAGGAGGATGAGTTCATCTTAAGCCTCTTCTTTATTGTTGAGTTCCAAAAGTTCTTGATCTCGTTGTCGGTTCGTCCGGGCAACCGGGCCGCAATTTGAGACCACCTTCATTATTCCAAGAGAGAAAGATTCAATGTGAGATTAATTGGGGTTGAATATATACCCTTTTGTTTTTATATATACGAAGTGAAATACTTCGCAAACAGTGTACAAAACATTTGAAATTAAAGTTTGTTAGTTTGCAAGATGTTGCATGGTTTACTCATATCGATAGAGACAGGTTTGCATGGTTTATTCATATTGAGTCCAAATATTCATGTTATATTCACCATACATTATAAGGTCAACAAATACGGAAACTATTTGGGGGAAGAAAACAATGTCCTTCCTCTATCTAAAATTATTGTCCAGTTTGAATTTTCAGTTTTAGTTTAATTGAACTGAAAAACAAAATTCAAAATGGACAATAATTTTGGAATAGAGGAGTAATATTTATCATTCAATAGTAAATAACAGAAAATTAATCGACAAGAAAAGAAATAATGAGGGGTGGGGGCATGGATGTTGGGACAAAGCATGAGCTTCTAAACCCATGCAAGATCATTTTGTAACACCAAATCAAGGTATAATTGAGCATAGGCCACCTCAGAAGTATGCACACGTACGTTTTCTTCTACGTTTCTTCCAATCCAATACAACTTGAATGAAAAGGTCTTTGTTCTTCTTTGCTTTCATGTAAAGGTATATATATTTTTCCCCCATAAAGAAGAATGTTAAAAGAAAAAAAAAAAGAAAAAGAAATGAAAAGCATAACGTACGCTTATAGATCCCAATTAATAAATCATATTAATGCCTCCTTCATTGCAGGGAAAAAAAACCATATTAAGAATACATTATTTCCAACTCATAATTAATACTAATGCCTCGGAGAACAATAATTTTATTTATTAAACTGAAATAATACAACTAATAAGATATCTATTTGGTACGAAAGTAGTACATTTTCAACGTAGCATATACATTATGCAGATTGAGAACCACGTGTCAACCTTTTAGCTCTCTTTCTTGTTCAATGTTGTAATAAGGAAAAGAACACACGTAATTCTCAATAAGAGGTAGATGAGGTTGACTGTCACTACAATGTCATAATTGTCCACATTTACTTAATTTCAAAAAATTATCATTAGTTTTTTGAGCACATCAATTCGTTATGCAATGATAATTATATCTAGCTATATATGAAGTTAATTTGATTGCAAGCTAAAATGATTGTTGCTTATCTTCCTTGTCACTATCTTTACCTCTCCATGAAGTCTTGATTCCTAAGTCTCTATAACATAGTATTTTGCATGGTTCACTTTTTCGTAACTAAATGCACGTAACAGTTAGAATGTCATTGTAGAACTGGTAACTTCGCAATATCCACTAATCTTTTCATGTGTCATAGGAGCAACATAATTAATTGAAGAAATGTATACTCGTAACTAATTTCCGAGTAGCTTGCATCAATGATAAAGATAACAATTGAATAATAGCTCTATCTTATAATAACCATCTATGTGACATTCATTCATCGATTATTATTATTACCAATGTGATGAAAATAAACGTGGCATCAGTCCTCCGTCAATGTGAGAAAAAAAACGTCACATTTTCATAGTTTGAATAATGTCGCATTTTCATAATTCCATTTGTCCCAAAAATGAGTCTGACATGTAGAACAAAAACAGTTCGAACAAATTAGAGAACAAATGCGAGAGAAAATATTGACATACCTATTACCAAGGATTGAATGGAGGTGGATAATGAGCTCTTCTTCTTGAGGTGAAAATGCTCCTCTTTTAAGATCAGGCCTCAAATAGTTAATCCACCTAAGTCTGCAACTCTTCCCACATCTCTGTAAACCTGCATTCCTTGCAACATCACTCCAACATCCTTGTCCATTTGTAAGCATGTAGTTCATCAACTTGTCGTCTTCTTCCGGCGACCACAACCCTTTTCTCAGCTTCACTCCTCCGCCTCCTCCGCCGCCTCCATTGTTGCTGATTTCATTGCTGTTATTACTCACATTGCTACTACTACTATTAGTGTTACCACCACCAATATTGATATTCTTCCCCATAAAGGGCTCTGCAGGTTTTCTCATTTGCATGAGCCCTTTACTTGGTGTGTGTGTGTGTGTGTGTGTGTTTTCTCCAAACTGTTTGGATGGAAAGAAGAGTTTGGTACTTTTATAGAGAATAAGAAATGTATATTTTAAATCGAATATGAACCCCTAAAAATAGAATGAAAGTGAGAGAAAGACGGGGAAAAATCGAAATGATGATCATTATGATGTCTATATGCTTTTGTGGGGTTTGCTTGAAAATGTGGGCATTGTGTGTTTCTGAGTATGTGTGTGTTTGTGTATGTGTTAGTTGAGGGGTCGAGTGAGAAAAACGGTTTTGGAGTGAGATAGGTGGTCTTCTTGTCTTTGACTCCATACATTTGATTGTCTTTTTCTATGCATTTTCTTCAAATTCAAGCTAAGCTTTTCTTTTTTCCTTCTCTCTTTCTAAAGCTATAACACAATTGAAACGGTGAGAAGATGTACAATGAACACAAATCTGACTCAAAGTAAATACAATATTAATTAGCTAGTTTGAAAAACATTTGGGGGTAAGGTCTCGATCTCACTATTGTATGTTTCTTTTCTCGTTTTACAGGATTTAAATTCTAACTAACCTGCACGCGAAATTGCAATTGAACTCTTTACTACTTATCTCGAGATGAGCTAGTTAGCAACTCAAGATTATAAGTTTCTTTTTGTTGCATTAGGCTATTACTTCATCCGTCCCATAATTATTGTCCAGTTTGGATTTTCATTTCTAGTTCAAATTATACTAAAAGTGAAATCTCAAATTGGACAATAATTTTAGAACAGCGGGAGTATATATTATGCTTCCTAATTCCTATTATATATGTTCATAGATATTCATTCACTGAAAAAGATTTTCTTTCTTTGTTGAATTTAAATAGTACAAAAACTGAAATTATGTCGACATGAAAGGAGTTAATTATATATACATCTATATAGTATATTGTTTTAGTGAAAAAAACAGAAAGTTTTGTTTTGTAACGAAGTGATGAGATTTTTGCTTCCAACGTACATAATCTTCCTTTATTTCTTTTGCATCAATCCGATCTTTTAATTTCTTTGTTTGGGTACACGTGTACAGAAATAATAATAAATTAATCATCAGGCCTTGCATAACGACATGAAAGCTACACACTAAAGTGGTTGACTATACATGAATCCAAAATCATTTTCAAGCTGATATGATGTTTTTGATAAGAAACTAGTATGATTTTACATAATTTGAATTGGACTACGTAGTATGACCTTTTCTCTCGTCCATTAATTAATTTCTGACAATATCTCTTTTGCTTTCACTTTGACAAAAGTAGGCAAATTTCTATGGATTGAAGGAAACCATCACCAATGGATCGAAGGAGGAAGTAAAAGCATGAAGAGCAAAGAATTAATAACTGAGAAAGAACCCTAGTCTTTAAAATGAAAAAGAGTCGTTCCAAATATTGCATACACGTCTATCTCTTGACTACTTATGTGTAATAAAAGAGGTTTAAAATCGGATAATAATTATAGTGATAGACAGCATCTAAAAATTAAGAGGTTATGGCGGAACTTTACTCAAAATCAGTTGCAGTATTTTTTCCATTGTAATCTGCTGTCAATGTGCTAGAATGATTTTATTTTTTTTTCTTTGCAAAATGACTGTTTACAACGTTAGCTGTACGCGCGCATGCCTCAACTCAGGCAATATTTTTTTGGTTGCAAAACAAAATTAATTTTAACTCTACCAAAATGACCATTAACACTATTGGCTATGTCAAATTGCAATGTCTTTCAAGCTAGCGCATGTGACATATTGCATGTCTTCGATCCCCTCCCTACTGAATATTCATTCGTAACAAAACGTTGTGGGGGAAAAACAAAAGTGAGTGAAAAAGAAAATGTTCTAAGAGAAAACAAGATTTTATACAAATTCTATCTTCGAGAAAGTTTTCACAAAAGGGATCTTTAATCACACTTCAAAATACACCACCAAATAGAGTGAAGCCACCTCCTGTATTAAAACCCCCCTATCTACACATTATTACCTTTATGCATGTTGCTTTTCATTTGATGAAGCATTCTGGATAACAAAAAAAGAAAAAGAAAAAAAAAAAGAAACATATATGGTTGTCTCAAGATCGTTTGACAATCTAAATGTCCTTTTCATTTGAGGTAGAAACTCATCATTTTAAGATCTGCATGAGCAGTTTCATCTTGATGATTTTGAAGCAATTGGAAAGGTTTCCTTTTCGACCTTTAACTTCACTCCAAGTTTCCATTTCATCCCCAGAGTTCGAAAGGTTTCAATCTTGTCCCTAACATTTATAATTTAGTTTCCGATGATAGTTTTCAATCCAATCCAAATATGAAATAATCATGATAATGACTACAAACGCTAGCACGATTTAGATCACCTTTGACCAACCAAGGAAAGAAAAAATTGCATATCCCTAATTTAAATTGAGCATAATGCATCGCACGTGATCGAGCTTGTGCTAGAATTAGTATGCAATCAAGACTAAATTATCAATAATATCACAATATTGGAACTTATTGAACTTTTAGGGTAAAAGCCCACCTTTAGGGTGAAGTTGGAGGGCAATTGACAAGATAGATCATAAATAATATTTTTTTAACAAGAAATAACACTAGTGGTAATAATGGATTCTCATTGGATTTATTTTTTACATGGTTTACTATTTCTAGATTGTGGGGGCAGCCTTGAAATGAGCCTCCAAGACGTTGCTTAACTGCCATACAAACAATTAATATTTTGTCTAAAAGCATGCATAAAAGGGGCAACATAAAGAAATTGGTGAATTGTAAGTTAAGCATGTGCCATTTGTAAGGCTAATTTGGAACTTCTGTTTTGCTTTTTAACAATTTTACATGATCAAATCAATCATTAATTTTCAATCTCTCTGCATGGCAAGAGATCGAGAATGAAAAATCCTACTATTGCCTTTTGATGGTGTACTATCAAAATGATAGTTAAATTATTTTATCTTCCTTCCTGGCTTCCTCTATACTAAGAGTATTTACAGCATAATATTTGCACAACTGCATTTGTGAACATAATTAAGTCACCATTTGCTTACCATATTGTGATGGAGTTGGGTTTTCATTTGAATCTGCCGATGATGCCATATTTATAGTCGGTCAGCGGCAAAATTTGTAAAAGAGAATTTCATTAAAACTAAACAGTATTATGAAATTTTATTTCTTCATGGAATTAATACTTTTTAAGATAAATATCTCGAGCTTGAGATATAGTATTGTAGTAGGGAATGGCCAACATTTGCTTATGATCTATTCGTAATACTACTCTCGTCCCAAAAAAATAGTCCACATTGAGTTTTCAAATTTGCACTAAAAACATTACAAAATTCAAAACTCAATGTGGACTATTTTTGCAGGACAGAGGGAGTATTATTTATTGTGAATGTTCATAAGTTTCTGAGCTCATATAGAAAAGTGAAATGATATCCTACTATAAATAAAATTTCGCACTTTTTATAATAAAAATGAAATCAAAAGAATGTTGACCATATAAGTTACATGATTGAACTCAATAATCTCAGATGACCACAAACATCAATATTTTAATTCAGCTGGTCAAATTAATAAAAGAAAGAATTTGTAATAAGTAGTTTTGTTTCAACCAATTAGCATTATAAAAAAAGGGGGGATTAAAACGATGATTTTTTCGTTTCACTAAAAGAGGAAAGAGGGAATGTAATTACGTTTGGCGGAGATTCGAACTAGTAGCTAGTATTGAGAAGGATTTGTGGCAAAGATTATATGACATTATCACTGCATGAAAATCACAAACAATCATGTGTCATATATGAAGAAACAAAATTATTTCTTAAGCACTTTCTAATGAGTACAATTATTGATTTTATCTTTATTTATGTTGTATAAAATTAATATTATCCCTAAAAGGAAATGCTTTACCAGTTCTTTTAGAAACTGTATATTGGAAATAAAAAACACTAATGAAGAATGATACTTCATCTTCCAGAAAGATGCTGCATAATTCATCATTCTCACAAATAAAAAAAATAATAAAAAAGAAAATTGTCTTTTTGATATAATATCCATTTTTTTATTTGGTCTACTATTTTTGGCACTTGAGTATTTGGAAAATGTAGTTTTTGTCCAGAAGTACAAGGAGAACACTTGAAGGAAAAGTAAGGAAATGATTAGAAAATATATAGGAGGAAGGTGAGGAAAAAAAAAATGATTTATTTTATGTATAAAAAAAAATAAAAAACAATAAAGGTTTATGAACTTTACTTTTTCTTTACTGTTGCCTCGTGCAAGCTTTGTCCCTTATTCGTGTTGATTGGTTTCCATATAGCCTCCAATTCAAGCAAACCTGCATGCCAGAGTTAATAAAATTTTACTCGTATTAACGTGGGGAGCTGACCAAATTTACTACTCCCTCCGTCTAATTTTTACGATTAGTTTAAAATTAAATTTGTGAAATTTGCGTTATTGGCAGTTATAAAAAAAACATTAGTAAATTAATGTTTTTCATACAAAATATTGCAGAATGAAACGAGAAATAAGTATCAATTGGTCATAACAATTTCCTCTTCGAGAAATAGAGTTTAGAACGATATTGAATGAGTTTTTAATGTCAGCCAAAGTTGAAGCAAACAATTAATATTCAGCGTAAAACACATTAGGGATAAGTGTTCTGTTTGAAAAGGTAAAAAATGTTTACAATAGGTTTACTCTGAATTGGAAATGTATTAGATTCTTTTAAAAAACAATTCTCTTTTTCATGCATATTTATAAAATATCTACCGCCGGCAACAAAACTCTCAGTGATCTATATATTACTTGTGTCCCTTCTCGATTTCCAATAACAATTACATAAACCTAAACCAAAAAGCCAAAGAAAAAAAAAATCAGAGTAGAAGAAGGTTGGATGAGAGGGTTGATCTTTCAACTGGAGTAATTCAAAGAAGAAAAAACAAATTTAATATGGCTCTGCCATTGAATATGGTCAAGAAATGCAATCCAAGAACAATCATTAAAATGAAACATCAGCCCTTAAGTAAAATATTAGACTGTCATTTGCTCTGTGTTATATTAACAAATAATTATGCATGTATAGCAAAGGAGACGAAGAGATCCAACACAAATTGTCAGTCAAAAAGACTATGTTGAGTTCAGTAACTATATTTTGGGTATGTTCCTGGGATCAACTCACTTAGTCAAGTTCTTCCATCCATCCAATCTTTACCCAGGCAAAAATGGGTTAACAAAGGTCTTCGGTTAATCTAGTGCTGCTACAATTGTTCCAGTTGCATTTTCTAAGCTAAAATATCTGCCACAGTAATCTGATGACTTGCAGAGTAATAGGAATTAACAGTATCATGCATCTTCGCCTCGGATGTTAATAAACTTTTCCTCCAATGAACTTCGAGGGGGTTCCTTAACAACCGGGTTCGACCGTTCGGATTGGGAAAACACGACGAGTATCTGCATGAAGAGCAAAACTAGGACCAGGAAAACTGTACAGAATGCAACTTCACCCCATGAAAATGTGCACCATTCGAAGAATTTGACAGCGCCAAACATTAGGAAAGCCGACCAACAAATAACAACCTGTTCATGTGAACCGAGTATTAGTACAAACGCGAAGAACTATAATATTATGAAGCCTTCAAAAAATAGGTACTACTGATCTCTTGTAAGGAACCTACCAGGAGTGATCTTACTGGCCGGCCAATCTCATGGCATTGTTTGCTTCCAAATGTGTCTTTGGCAAGATGTCGTTCCAACAAAGCATCCTGGTTAATTTAATTTCCGAGCAGAATTCATAGACTCATCAAGACAAGAATAAAAAATTGCTCAGCACATTCAATCTCAATCGACGCAAAAAGATACTTGCAAACATGACCCCATTGTATCAATGGCAGTGCGCTGTTTAAGCAAGCATGGTGAGAGATGAGATATGGCTTATTGAGCTATATAATACAGAGTGATAGTGAAAAACTTAATAGTGTCAATCTTAAACTATCCAGTGAAGTCATGTCTTTCAACTTAGATGTATATAGACTGTGCCGAGTAGCTGGAAAATGAAGGTCTAAATAAATGTAATTTATATGTGCACTTTTAGGAGGAAGTCTGATACTTAAAAGTGTGGTTCATGAACTGTCAAAAGTCTAAACAAAATGATAAAAAATATTGAAGCACTTTCGCAAGAAAAGACAATTTGAGGTTCCAGCTTACCTTTGAAACAAATGTATCTTTACACCACTGTGAAATGCCACTGCAAGTTTCGGGAAGTTCATTCATCAAATGCCTTTCAATGTGCACGTGCACCTTTGCGAGGAAAGAGAAGCAGCAGGGTTATGCAAAAATCAATCAAATCCATATAACTACATGCTTTATAGTTGGATAGGATTAATTTCAAACAATACGTGCCAATCCATAAAATTAGGTAACACAGGATTAAGACATGGCCGGCCCTAACAGCTAACAACATCAAATCCACAGAAGATCCAATAATTGAAAGTAGTATTCCGGTTTATTGACAACATCAGACAAATAAAAAGAATTGAAGGCAAACTGAAATAGCAATATGCTAGCTAGAATAGCTCACAATCTCCCACACGTCTAAGCTTCTATAACTTTAGTCAAAGTGAAAGACATTGACATGCCACAGAAGCCAAAGTGAAAGACATTGTCTCGCCACAGAAGCCAAGGTGAAAGAAATTGACTCACCACAGAAGATCGCCCTCTGAACATTCTTAGCAACGTTGGCTGAGTCTCGTGTTTAGGTATAGCCACAGTTATGTCGTAAATTGCAGGAACAAATGATCGCAACTGATTAACTGAATAAACGAACCCCTGCGGGCATCACACACATTAGACAATTGGATCTCAAAGAGAGGTTGCTATTTAGAACCTAAATTCTATGCACAGAAATCAGTACCACCAAAATGGTAATTAAATGTTTCAGTTTTATCATAAGAGAACCTTAGATGAATGGGTATAGGCAATATGATGATTCAAAAGTTAAGGAATGCTACTAATGTGATTTACCAATTTAAATGAGACAATAAATAAACACCCAAAAGGATTAAAAAAACACAACGGTCAACCTACTGAAACGAATATCACTCAGTAATACAAAGTCTGAGAATATGCACCCAGAGATGTATTCAAAGTATATAAATTTGGAAAATGCAGTAACCTTAGTGCGTGGTATCAATACATTACGTGGAACAGGTAACCCTTGTGAAACAGCATATTGCTGTGCATCAGCAAGTTTTGCCTGTGTGAAACGAGTTCCTTCGACAAAAACTGCCAACCAAAATGGCTGGGGAAAATCATTTAGACCCTGAAAACCTGACTGCAGAGAGAATATAGTCGAATGTTATTGGCTAAGATTTAAATAGCAAAAACTCCAGTATCAATAATAATGATCGAAACAGTACCTTCAGAGTATCCTCATCCTTTTTCCAGCTTCTTTCAAGAAATACATAACCATTGAACCACATTGACCAGCCAAGTACCTGCACAATGAGAATTCCTTATGCCTCCAAAACTGAACATGATTAGAATTGTTGAAATACAATAAGCTTTCTATTTTGATGTGGGCGAATCACATGAAGACTTGAAGACCTAATTATCTTTAGGCCAGATTTTCACTTTGAATCAATAGGTAAAATGCTTTCATAAGACTCTTGAAAGTACAATGTCTGTGAATTTGTCATTACTTATCTCAAGAAATGAAATTGCTGCAGTCCAGTGTCATAATTAAAAGAGACAACATTTTCAACGACAGATATAGTATTTCAAACGAGACACAAACAGGAAATACATAGTATTTCAGACGAACCATGGTAGTGACTTTAAATATACATATTCAAAGACACACCACATGAATTCTCATGTTCCCCGGAAAATATACTATTCTGTTTTTCAAATCCCTTTGGAAACTAGTTCCTGACTCACTGATGTCACTAGACAGTAGCCACTTATGAATTCGATGACAATGGTTTAAATTTTGGTTGAGACTTGCAATACATGCAGATATCAAAGAACATACCTTTCAGCAAAATGCTGCAGATTCGGTTTTTTTTTTTTTGTCTTCTATATTCAATGGAAAAGAAAAGTTTAACTCAAAATAAAGTTGAAAAACATTAACGAGATTCGTTCAATTTCTTATGACCTAGTGTCTGTTTCATATAGTGGGGTGAAAGTTTAATTGTTATCTGTGCCTTTGGCTAAACTTTCACCCCACTATTATGAGATCTCTAACTGTATAAATAACGTTGCCACTAGTTCGGTCAATATATTATCAGTTTCCTAAGATGTTCCTATAATTCCAACTCTATTTTGGGTCATCATAAGTATAGAGAACTTCTTTCTCCATTTCTCTATTAAACACATAATTTCCATACAACGGGCAAAACAATCGGGTTTTACACCCTTTTGAATCAATAATTAATATTTAGAGAAGACAAGTTTCGGTTCAGAGATAACATGCAGTTATTGCATTTTCCAAAAGATCCAGAATATCCATAGGACACAATATCTATTACACGAAACTATCTTGTTCTGTGAAAAGAAGAAACTCACCGGCAAGTAAACAGCTGATTTTTTCATCAGTGCCAATGTGCTCCCAAGGCAGCCAAAGCGCTGACAAGATCGAGGAACTGCACATTAGTTATGCCTTTAAGAGAAAAGAAACAAACTAGATGGAGCCAAAACCATATAGCGACAATTCTAAGGAAGGAGCAGAAATCCACTATTCATAATGTTGGAAACAAGGATGTCTGTCACTAAACTTCTTTAAATAAATGAAATATTAAGAAGGTATTTGGCAGCAATTTCTACATGCATACAAGATATCCAAAATGGTAGCGACAAACTAAAACAAAGAGTTTCATCCAACATAAAGAAGGCTAGCTACAGATTTCCAGTTATTTCCTAAGTTATAACGAACTAAATGCTCAAAAGAAACACGTAGCATATTGTACCAGCTGTTCTGCTCCAATTTACTCGATAGCAAAAGTTAAACCAATTTCTATCAACAGGAGATGAAGCAAGAAAAAGAACACGGGATTATAGGGTTGGTATTATAAATGGATAAGAACCTGAGCAAGAACCCATCCTACAAGCCAGTCTATATCACTTCGGTGATTGCAGATGAGGAGTGCATGCTCTTTACCTGGAAAAAACATCAACCAAAATCTCAAATTTAGAGAAGTTGTGCCAGTAATGATATTATTTAAATAACAAAACTGAACACTCAACTAGAGAATTGTCTTACCCAGCAAATTCAAGGTTTCTTGATCTGTATACAGTTCAACCTGCCAAGCAGTAACCAGTCACCAAGAATTCCTAATAAAACAAAATAAAATCAAGGACATGGCAAAAAATTCAACTATTATACCTCAAATTTATCTAGAGCCCATTTCCTATAAATCATCATATACACTCAATCACTACAGTGAAATTACATATTTACTATGAGCGGCAAGGAGGGTAAATTTATTGTACTCAACTTTTTAATAAGGTAATAAAGGTTAAAACACCTTTAAGTTAACGATTATCTACATTTTGCTCTGCTGCATTTTTATGTTTTGTCACTTTTTGGGTGTAGAAAACTCATGGAATCCTAATAAACCAACTGTTGGTTGCCAAACTTTGATCAACAAAAAGTTCATAGACGAGGCTTTCCAAAATTCAAGGTGAATAAAGGGAAGATGGGATGAAAGAGGAGAACAAAGAATAAAGTATCCATCATCTCTGTGGATGATACCCTTTTCTATTGTACCCACCAAGGTTCAAACCAAGGGTTGTGACAAGCCCCTACCCTAACCACCTTATACAACCATCTCATCCTAAGAATACCCTTTATATGAAAAGATATACAATCAAAATATACATCATTTCATCAGTTCCAAAACCACACAAAACAAAGAAACAAAATTATTAGTCTACCAAACAGAAAATTGATATGATATTGAGATATGGAGGACCATTTGGTCCAATATTATTTTACCAAGGGTTTAATGACTTGAATCGCTAGATATACACTGCTTCCTCAGTTCTAAGATAGCATTACTCGATCACCTTCTGACTTTCTGGAAAAGAAAGAGATATGAAAGTAATGTGCAACTGTCAGTAGGCCAGTTTAAATGTATTACGATTTTTTGCCTCTTCTTTAACCCTCAATGATGCTACTACAACAACAGCAGTCTGCCGAAGGTATTTCACTCCTGTCTAATATGCTATACTACTAATCATTACACAGCCTGATTTGATGCCACTTATACTACAACAAAAGCAGTCTGCAGAAGGCATTTCACTCCTGTCCAATATGATATACCACTAATCATTACAGCTGCTTGATTTGATGCCCCTATAATGACAAGCTTACCACATGAATGTGTAAAGTTACTGTTTTCTTTTTTGATTATCACTAGAAACACAAATTCTACCCTAATGAGCCGAAATCACTGTTTTTGTGGAGAATTTTGTTTCCAAGATGAAGTTGCGCACAACTTTGGTTTGAGGTTAGTGCCATAGATGGTTTACTACATTGATCACAATCACATTTAACCTAAAGAAAAATCACAGTACCAAGTCTTTCACAGAGAAAGAAATGTAAGATTTTCTTTTCATTGAAAAAACAATACCAACTAATGTCATGTAGCTCAAAGATCTAACATCTTCTTACTTGCTTCAAGAAAACTATGCCGCAAAGTTGAGCGAAACTACTGATATTTTCTAAACATTCCTATTGTGTGCATGTTTTGTTAGCAACTAAAACAGACTCAGACAAGAAATTAAAATATTTCAAGCAATTGGCATCAAAATTTTTCAATTTGCAAATGGCAGAAACAACGCATTGAGACTTGTTCATACGATACTTTCTGAGCATGATGCCAAAGATTGCACTCAACCAACCAACCAAGAAAATAACAAGGCAAAAAAGAAGATGAATTTGAAACTCATCATGCATAAATGAGTTGACTAGAAATGGTAGTTTTTGATCCCCAAACAGAATGCACTTTCTGTGGCAATCAAAGATGCTGCTCATGTTGCGCTGAACTGACAACTACCACTAACCACATTGAGTTTATTTATCCTATAAGTGAACAAATAATTCGGCAATTTACATCCTTCAAACCTTAATATGTGCCCACCAGTCGAACAGCCATACAAGCTCCAGCCACAATAGTTCTGCTACATGCTTGTTGATCCTTTGAAATAAATTCTTTGAGAAAGGGCGAACGAGAATGAAAATAAGAGCCTGAAAGTTTTAAACATGTCAAAGAATTGCATAATAGCATCCAATTACTCTATAGCATTAAGAGCCAGAAACTACTAGCAAATCAAATGAAATCAAAGAAATAACAGGTATATCATTAATGGGTGGGAGTTCTTAATCTCTCATTACAATATTTGACACCTACTATCTTCGCTTCATTATTCATGCACCAGACCTAATCAAAAGTTACACATCTTTCAAATTAGTCTCTACCCAAAGCAACACCAAATTAAGAATGTAAAAATGAGTTTGGGAAGGAAATTCTGGATCTTCACTACCTCTGGAAGATTTCAGTAATCCTTTCTCATTTCAAGTGAAGAAAGCAAATAAGACTAGGCTTCCTCAGTTTTAAAAAATTAAAAAATAAAATAAAAAAATAAAGAAGACTAGGCTTCCTCAGTTTCAAACAAAAAAATTTTTTTAACCCCTCATTTGTTCATGAATATGTAGAATCCTCTGAGAATATTAAGTCATTCTTAAAACAATCTGACTTTTCTCTATTCACTTATCCCTTCCATCAGCCAGCAAACCTTACAAGTCAGCTATAACAAAAATCAATGCAACCTATTTATGGATCCAATTAACTTCATCTGTCATTTAACCATGCTTAATATTGAACTTGTACCTCGTTACTTCGAAAATCGTTCAAAACAACTTATTCATCTCTTTTCAAGTTAAGCAACTATATGTTAAAGCATCATTCTCAAACTAAAAGGATAATTCTTTTCAGAATAATAAAACTCAATCTGAGTGAAACGCTGATCCTCAAATTCCACATGACAGCAATGTACATTATGAAAGCAGCCAAATCGACCAAAACCAAAACATATTCGATATCCGGGAACATATTGAAGACAATCTGAAATCCGAAAAAAAAAAAAGAAGAAGAAAAATTACATGTGCACAGAACAATTGCCAATAACACAATGTGTTCTTTCCCACCTTCTTCTCGTACTTTTTCAATTCTCATAATTCTCTTTTACTGACATGCAATTTCTCAGAGAACCCTTCATGAAAAAAATACAAATTTCAACAAATATCCACACGAATTATCAAGAATGGCACCAAAGAAAAAAACAAAATCAACACAACCCAGGTGGAGAATTTTCATGAAAAAAAGAACTGGTAAAGCTAATGCAGGAAAACAGAAATATGCATTCTGCATTATAGAACAAAATTTACTACCTGAAGGAAATTGACAATGAGGCCAGACAGAATGAAAAGGAGGCCAAGAGGAAGAATAACAGCGGCAGCAATGGCCATGTTTAAAAAGCTCTTCTTTCTCTTTACATGAAACAATAATGCAAAAGGAGATAGAAAGATTCAGAGAAGTTAGAAATATGGGATCTTTGAATCAATGTTGAAAAAGAAAAGAAGGACAAAGATGGAGAAAGAACAGAGAATATTCACAGGTCATATCATAGTTGGCATTCAAAACGGTTTGGACTCCTGAGGAAAAAGAGAAAATTTCAAAAAGGCCCCTAAACTATTTACTATCTACAAAATAATGCCAATTTATCAATTATGGATCACCAAATAAAGTATTCTTCTAATCTCCCGCGAAAACCCTTTATCTTCCTTTTCTTCTTCTTCTCTGAATAATCTTCAACTGGATAGCTCTACTCGGAATTCAATTCCATAGAAAATTTCATTGCAATTCTTCTGATGAGGAACCAAACAATCCCTCAAATGAATGTATGAAAAAATCGGTTGCAATGTCGATTGTTGAGCCGCTGACAATGTTCACAAGCTCAACCGACTGTTCTTTGAATTCGAAGTTCAGTCTTGTTCCTTTTCTCAGAAGGAATCCTCAATCGACTACTTACCGGGTGAAGAGGTTAAGAATCTCATTTGGCAAACTTTGTGCCGCTGCCGGAGCTGGGAATCCGGCGTCCTCGTCTTCGTCGCCGGTGACTGGAGATGCACTTCGGAATCTCGCCGTGTCGTCTGTTGTTCTACTGGTCGGTTTAGGTTTCAGTCATCGTTGCCTTTCTGCTTCGGCTGCTGTGGATATTCCGACTACTCCTGTCGTTGCCCCTGAGAACAGCCAAACTCTAGGTATGCATTATTTGGTGCGAAAAATTTATGTTTGGCCTTTTGCTTTTGCCGTCGTTTTTTGTGCTCTTGCCTATTTTTTTTTCCCGGTAATTGCGTATACGATTTCATTGAGACAGTCATGATTGGATGTTGCGTCTCAAACAAGCATTGTAATCCTAGCATTTTGGTGATGAAGATGAGGATAAGAATTAATGCTTGAGCTCTAACTCTTTCAAAATTCGAAAGCTTCAGCTAAAACAAGGATGCATCAAGTTGAGTGGGATATTCTGCTTTAGTGCTCAGGTCTTGTTGACAAAATTGGTTATGTTTAAGTAGATAATCCCGAAAAAAAATAATAATAATAATAATAAAAAATAAAAAAATAAAAAATAAAAATGTGTACTACTGGTTTGAACTTTTTCTCTTCTTAAGAATTCAAATGCCGTTGAGAGGAAAGCCTCTTAGTGATGCCATTGCTATGTTAGATGGAAAAGCTTTGTCCAATGCACTGAAAATTGGCATCTCTGTTGTCAGAATGCTACTGCATTTCTGTTTTCCCCTTTATTGAGGGGCCACTACCTAGTGGGATAAAGGCTTCTTTTTGTTGTATTCGGGAGCTAGTACATTAAATAGCTTGGTATACCTTTATCTAGAATAACCAACAACATGTTTGAACTACTTTGAGCTTCAACCTTCAGGCTTCTATGAACTGAGAATTGGTTGATGATCAGATGAATTGTGGACTGGTTCTTACATGTTAGGGAATAATATGGGCAGTATCTGAAAGGAAGGTAAATGATACAAAGAACACTCCACTTAAGAATGTAGGAAATGGATTAAAGAGGTCTTGGCTAGTGAACAATAACTTGTTATCATAAGGATGAGTTAAGATTTTTCTAAGAAATATGTTAGAGAGTTACTCATCAAATTTAGAGTTTGTTTTTATCTAAGTGATCTATATCTCTCTACATAAGAATGGGTGTAGCTTGTGATGGAGTTCTAGTTGCAGTGCTGTTATCATATAACCTTGTTGGTTTTCCATATAAAGGGGTGCAAGAATTTTTATTTGTATTTGATTTGCTTACATTTTTTTTGATCAAGCTGCAAGTGCATCCTTTTAGTCAATATGCTTTCCGTAGATTGTCCTTAGTTGGAGATATATTGTTTCTTTAGTTTTCTGTAGATTTACTAATTTCATTTTGTTGGCCTATTTATACGGTTTATTGAACGGATTAGGCATTTTCAGCAATGTCGATGCAACGTGACATGGGAAATGGATGACAACCATATCAATTTTAGCATATTGAATTCGGGTTTCACTCGTGTGTTTTATCTCATGCTATTAGTAGTTAGATTGTGTTTCTTTTCTGTCAGGAGACCTAAAATGGTAGATGTGTCGGGATATTGAAGATTGGTGTCTATGGCTTTTCATTATGCGAAATGAGAAAAAACTAGAGAAAGCGCTTGGCAGAGATTGTTGAGTGTATTCAACTGATACTGAACATAATAGGCTAAAAGGAATTGGACAGTCAAGTCTACAAGAGAAATACAAAAAATGACTATTTATATTCTCGGACTGCCTTACTTGTAGGTTTTTTGTTTCTTTTTGAATTTTGCATATAGATAATTAAGCTTTTGGTGCTGCTGAACCAAAGATTTAAGTGCTCCTTCATCCTCAATATTGGGGATCTTTAATACCACTAAATTTTGTAAATATTTGGTGCAGATCCACCACAAAAAGAAGTAGGATATACTAGTAGAAAGTGAAACAATATTGTTCATAAGCAAATTTTGAAGACTATTTGAATTTGATTTTCTTTGTTGATCCATTTTATAGAATAAGCTAAAACCGTATATGTGAGGCAAGGTCCAAGCCTTACCTAATTTGTTGCTGGATCAACCGAGCTCTGGGCTGGCCTTTTTCATGAGTGTGTATAATCCAACTTCTATGTAAAAGCCTTTGTTAAACAAGACTGCATTTTGTGTCTTCCACGTGAACGTATTAGTTGATGGGCATGTTCATTCTATGAATTTTGGAACTATAAATTGTCATGAATTGTGAAAGGATACGAGCTTTAGTCTGGATATGTTGTTAATTTGGTTTGCTGATATTGATGATCTTGCAAAGCTAGGGAGTTCAGAGGATGTTGAAACTGATGATATGAACGACGTATTGGAGAAACAGGAATCCGAAATATTTCCTCTGACTGTCCCTTTGCGGATTGTTGCTCTACGTAACTCATTCCCTCCTGTTTGGTTCCAGGTATGCTTTGAACTCTACTGCTGTTATTCATAATGATCTTTCGTCTCTGCAATCTCCTTCAAACAGTAGAGAAGTTTAAGTCCTCTTATATCGATATGTGAGTATTTGAAACTTGTATCATGAATTGGTTGTGGACTGCTAGGAACCTGTTGGCTGATTATTTTGCTTCTTCTTTTGAAGGATTTTGTTCAAACTCAAGGAAAGAGAGTGAGATTGGGCTCTCAATTTCGTCAAAGCCTGAACGACATTGTATCTGAGCTCCAGGCTCCAGTGAAAAAAAGAGATGCTCTGGCCGCAGCTGATCTTATCACAGTTGGTGATTCCTGGCTTAGTTTTCTTATAAAAGAAGGATTGATTGACCCAATGGAAGGAGTGGAAAAACAAGATTGGTTTCAAGATTTGGCTGATGAGTGGAAGGTAAAGGTTCTTTTCCATTTGATTCCTGATAAGCCTTCTACTTCTACCTCAAAGAGATATGGCGTTAGTAAAAGAACTGCAATGAGAAACAAAATATATTACTAATAATAAAATACTCCCTCCATTTCAAAATGTTGGTCGTTTTGATACGGCAAATTCTAGGTCGTTTTCCTCAATAAATGATGCTAATATATTTTTATTTAGTCTTGTTTATAGTTTCAATGTAATTAATGAGGGGTAAAAAAGATATTTATTTAACACATAATTAATTGTTGGATGATTGTCTCCTTAGTTTACGTGCCAAGTCTAAAAAGACTTACATTTTGAAATGGAGGGAGTAATAAATAGTACTCCTAACCTATAAAAATAGTCCACTTGACAGTTTAGAACTTTGGGTTTGCAGTTACAATATACAAAATGAACTTTGGGTTTGAAATTAAAAAGTTAGTAAGTTATTCGAAATATTCTGGAATCTTTGTTTAGGGACATAACAAGTTTCCAAATATGACTTTTATTTTGTAATGTAAGGTGGAAATCAACAAGGAGAAGAAACGAACATGATTTATGGCTGTTATTAACAGCATTAACAATGGAGCCTTCTGCATGCTCCCTCCCTCCCTCCTTCCCTCCCTCTCTCTCTCTCTCTTCATGATAAAGTAACATCAGGATTCATTTAGATAACTGGGCATTCTGGTTGGTTTCTTTGAGTCTGGTAAATATCAACGAGAGCAAAATGCAGAAGTATCTGGGTTCTTGGAAATTCCACATTGTTTGTCCGAAATGAGTCTTTCGGTTGCCTGTATCATGTTATGTTTTGAGAAATGATGCGCACAAAGCCACAAACAAATAGTGTTCTGTGTGTATACTGGCAAGTAATTTCACATGTTATTTCAGATATTGACTGAATGATTAAATTTGGAATTGTTTTCTCAAAACTGACTGTTGTTTTCTTTATTTAAGGTGGCATATGAAACATGAGCTTTTCCGAACAATTTACTGCTTCTGCTTGGTTATTTGTCAATGCAGCATTCATAAAATTCCTCTAATTAGCAACAAGAAACTGCCTCACCTTTTCGCTTTCTGTTCTTGTCCCTAAGGTTATATATATTTGATGTACATAACATATAATTTCATTATCATTTTACTTCATATCAGGGATATTTACGTAGGAGTGACGATGGAAAACTGGATCCACAAGGTCGAGTATGGGCAGCTCCATACAGATGGGGAAGCTTGGTTATAGCATATAAGAAAAGCAAATTTGAAAAGCATAAATTGGATCCGATTGAGGTACTAGATCCAACATTTTGAATTTGGTGCATCCACTGAGATTAAAATGGATGTGAACTCAAAAATTGGTTGTGGTGATAAATGTTCAACTGATGGTTGTAGTTTAATAAGTGTTCAACTGATAATAGTCTTCGTTTCTTATATAGTGTCATTCCCAAAACCTAAAAGTTATGCAGTACTAGATGGAGATCTATTAAGCAAAATATCATTTCTACGCAAACGTCATCAGTTTCATGGTTTTATGTTTCTATAGCCCTTGAAAATTAAAATTTATTGGTAGGTAAAACAGAATAGCAATATTGCTTGAATGTTATAAACAATAAAATAAATAAGCCCTACCAGCTATGTGAATTTGGCTGTATAGAATGTCTCACTTCTGTGTTTGTTCTTTGAAGACGTGTTTCTGTTGAAATATAAATGTATCATAAAGTAGTTTCCTTTCAAGAGTCAACAAATATTCACAGTCTCTTATTTCAGTTAACAATTCTATGTTGTTAGTATGTCATGCTGGTTCAGCTGAACATGTTATAATCATCCTAGTTGTTTATGTAAAGAAGCTACTTACAAATATATCATACATGTTATATCATCCCTGTTCAGCTGAACATGTTAGGGTCGTGTTTGGTTTTCTCACACTTAAATATTCCCATTTTCTTTTTTACTTTATCGCTTATTTTTCTAGTTTATCATGTTCACTCATGCATTTCAAGATACCATTTTTTGCCACCGCAGAGTTTTGTTTATGTAAAGTTTGTGATGCCCTGATCCATATGCTTTGGCAGTGTACCTGCTCTCAAATTTTTCCTTCAATCATGATCAGTCTAAAGTTTAATGAATATGATCTTCCATATTTTTCTTTGTTTCAATAAATGACACGTATATCATCTTCTCGATTTCTGAAGTTTCCCTATTTTCTACAAGACAGGTAATGAATTGAGTTTCTTATAAGAGTAATTTTTTTCTCCCATTTTTCTAGTTTATGAATTCTCAGATTTCAAGTTCCATTTCTTTAAAAAAATTGCATTGTCTTCCTAAACCCTAATGTTATCCTGGATATTTCTTTGGTACAAACCCATGCTTCTGCTGTTCCATATCTTCATAACAAATGTCATTTGTAATGACAAGACGCCACTATGTTGTTGTGTGCCAGTGTGTCATTGTTGACTTGTTTCTCTGCATAGCATTTCATCTTCACGAATGAAAATCTCTCACCACCTAGTGAAGTAATCTTTCTTTTGTTTGTCTGTCTAGAGTACTGTTGGTGGACTTGTTATCTGACAAACACAAGAAAATGCTTACTAATGGGATTTTTTTCACTGTGTGCTGGGAAATCTATTTGCAGTTTACGTGTTTCAGGCGGGCAAATTAGAGAACAGCTTTCAAAGAAACTTGAGTTCTCAGTTAGAAAAATCCAATTATTGGGATTACTTGCATCAATCCTGGCCTAGCAAATGTTATGATTCCCCTTTTTTTCATTAATAGCAAAAGAAAGAGCTATAGAAAAGTATATGGCTGGATTCTTCAGAAGTGCTGTAGAACATAAACAGATCTTGAGGTGGTTAGAACAGTCTAAGAATAGTGACCATTCAAGCTGAATAAAAATTTCGTATGAATTGCCTATTAAAAGTCTCAGGGTGATTTGAGTTTCTTGGTGGGTCGTTTGAAAAGCCAGAGAAATTCTATATTCTTATGCATTGAACTTTCTTGTCATTGATGGTTTAACTTCCTTTGTGATAACTGCACTCTTTCTGAAAGTCAAAAACATTTCATTTTTCTGGAGAGATTAATTTCCACATTTTCTTATAAAGTCTCTGAGCAGTTTCTTCTGGAAAACTTGTCACAATTCGGGTGAAAATCCTTTTTTTCTTTTCAAATTCTGTTTCTATTGCTTTAAAGATTCCCTTTATCTGATTGTCTCGTTGGAGTTATAAATTTTCCTGGACTAGCCAATGTCAGAAGCACATAGGAAGTCTGAAATCTAAAGAACATGCTTCTGTCATGTCTATGTAGTTTTGTTGCAGATTTATCTTTTCTGTTGTACTTTTTTGGAGTAATTTCTGTGGTACTTTTATATATCTTCTTCCAACTATAGTTGGAAATCTCAAAGTATCTCAATTCATCTACAGGATTGGGCTGACTTATGGCGCCCTGAACTAACTGGGAAAATTTCAATGGTGGATTCACCAAGAGAAATTGTCGGTGCTGTTTTGAAGTACATGGGGGCTTCTTACAACACACATGACATCACTTCTCAGGTTTCTGGTGGAAAAACTGCTTTGCTTGAGAATCTCTTGTTGCTAACTAAACAGGTAATGTTTAAAATTTAAAGGTTGTTTTCTTAGCAATATAGTATCCAAATACAAAATTTGAAATAAAAAGGAAAAAGCATTGCTACTTTTCTCCAAACATAAGCATGGCTTGTTAATGTTTCAAACTACAGTGCTGGTTTAGGCTCTTTTTTGTAGGGATTATGTTATTGTCTGATTAACATATAATAATATTAGACTCAAAATCTGGTATGAAGTTTGACATTTAAAGTTTGTATCGTTTTGAGTGGAAACTGTGTGGTTGGATCTTGACACTGAATTGACTTACAAGCTTTATTAAAATTTTGCATCTAAAACATGGAAATACAGACTTAAGGACATCCTTTTCCAATTTTAAATGACATAATATAAATTTGAATGTGCACTCTTGTTTACATTAAAGGGGCATCTTCATACTTAATTAAATATTCCAATGAACAACAAATTAATGTGAGTTTTGAGATTCCAAATGATAAAAGAACTATGTACCAAATAAAGGTAAGATGTCTCTAGGGTGATTATCTGATGTCCTTATATAGAACCTTCTTTTAATCAAATTTTGCAGTTTCAACATAATTGCAACAATGATTCATTTATTCATGGTTTAGTTTCTAGGGGAACTGGATGCTATCTGACTAACAGCTGATTTTCCATTATCTGTAATAGTTCATAAGCACTTTACAGGAGAACTTGCATTTTATAAACACATATTCAAGCTTGATCATGTTTATTCAAGCTTTTTCTTTATTTCTTTTTTTACTTTCTATGTGGTTGCATTGTTCATCAAGTTCTTTTTTATTTGGCCCAATCATATTTTAAAATATGCCAACAACATGATCTCTGAGTCAAGTTTCATAACTCTTTCTTCTGGCATCTTTTTTCTGCATAGTTTCCTCTAATAGTTATATATCTGTCTTCAATCACACCTAGTTTGTTTTCTTCCTCTTTCAAGTGCTGAGCATTTGATGACATACATGTATATGGTTTATGTAGGCTGACTACTGAAAAAAATCTTATAAAACGTGGTTTTATTTTGTTTAGGTCCGGTTGTTCGACAGCGAGTACTACCTTAAAGCCTTTGCCATTGGAGATGTCTGGGTGGCTGTCGGGTGGAGTACTGATATTCTTCCTGCTGCTAAAAGGATGTCCAATGTTTCCGTAGTCGTTCCAAAGTCTGGTGCAAGTTTGTGGGCAGATTTGTGGGTATGTGAATCCTCTGGAAACAATTTGAATAATTTCTCATCTTTGCATCTCTAAATGAATATAAACTTGGTACTCATAAAGGTTTCAGTGGGACAGAAATCCCTTGATCGTTATTTGAACTTCTTTTATTTTTTCTCCTCTTACTCTTGATCAGAAGCAGAAATTTTTGTTAGGTTTTAACTGAACTCATCCAGTTGGTAGTTCAAACATGTTTTGTTTTCTATCCATCTACTTTTTGTGAGAAAACATTTTTCTGCATTTAATAATAATGAATGATCATACAACAAGAAAATTAAAGGATCATGGGGAATTGGTTTCTATCTGTAGTCGTTTCAAATTGTGAAACTAATGACCATGTTAATTACATCATTTGATGATGAGAATGAATTTTTGGTTGCAAGGAATGCTATGCATTATAACCCAATGTAAATAATGTTCTTGTTTGATCGTAGAAATTTGTCTAAAAAGTATATTTCAATGCGTGTGATGGAATAGTTATTGCTTTCCAGTTGTGTGTTGCACTTCTAAGCCAATCGAGATTCAACAATTTTCATTGTGTAAAATCTTTGTACAGGCAATTCCTGCCACTTCTAAACTCCAAGTGGCTGAATTTGGAGGACGAGTTAGAGGACCGTCTCCTCTTGTGGCTCAGTGGATCGAGTTTTGTTTGCAGGATGCAAGGGCACAATCATTCAAAGAAGAGACTATTCCAGGAGCATCGCCTAATGCCTTTAAAGGCACCATGGAGGAGCCCAGTAGTCTCAGGAAAGGTCGGCCAAAACTTGAAACAAACCTCATAGCTGGCGTTCCTCCGCCTGAGATTTTAGCTAGATGTGAGTTCTTGGAGCCACTACCAGAGGAGACGCTTGCTGATTATCGCTGGTTGATTGACCAAATCGACAAACCTAACCACTCTTTCATGGGAATGGTGCAGCGTAAATTCTTTTCAGTACTTAACTTTTTCAAGCCAAAATTGTAGTCAAAAGTAGTTCAGACATAAATAGGCAACTTTTCTTTTGTCTTTTTTTTTCCCTTTTATTCCGTGAAGTTTATTTGAAACAGTAGTATCCCAAACATTACTTAAAGTACCCAACTGCATGAGAAGCAACCAGTTCCATCCCATGTAAATTCAACATCTTATCAATTCAATAGATTGTCCCCTTTGCAACCTTTTAATGTGTCTCAAACCATTTTTTCTGAGTCAATTCATGCTACATTAACCGAAGTACTGCCCATACGTTGCTCATATTCAGTTGGGACAGCCGTCGGCATGAAAACTTCAACTTCAATGGCAATACTAAGTGAGTTGTCGTTGCCGATTAAAAGCGGTATCGCCCCCTATCGGTGATGGTCACGATTAAAGAAAGAGCCAATAGGATTTGAAGAGAAGTTTCAAACTGTTCAACCAGAAATTGCAGCCAATAGGACATGGTTTTAGGGATTTCCGCGTGTTTGATTTGGATTGTCTGGGCAATGAGTGCCTTGAGAAAAGAAGATCACTCTTATGCAAAGATTGTGTAGGATCATATCTCTGAGAAAGTAAAGCATACACTAAAAATGTCACTTTCTTTGCAAATGGCAATTATAGTTCTTTTGGTTTTCTGAAATGTTGACCCCCAAACCCCTTCTTTGGGCCATTTTACATGTTTGCTATGTTTGCTTTCTGTTTTCAGTCACAATCTTTTTGCTTCGCTTACCCAGGGAAGGTAAGATATGAAGCATGCATCTATAATCTAAGATGACCACTCACGCAACCTTTTCTTCTTATACAAGAGCAGGGGTACTCAAGCCGGAAGAAGGCTGCAAACTGGCAGCATAGTCTCGTGCCCACAAATCATAATGTATAATTTCCTCGAGAGATGGTGAGGACACCAGCTCTGCTTGATGCTTCTCGCATGTGAGCTCCACAACCTTGAATATGTCTAGATAGCCGATTCTGAAACGTGGAAAAAAACTATTAGCTATATGCAAATCACAAGGCATAACACCTCAGTCTAATTAAATTCGTTTCTAACAGGCAATATGCTTAAAGCAAGTACATCACATAAAAAATGTGAGATTTCCTCTACCATGTCTAGTACCTACTTTTGAGAGCTCCGATTTTGACTATTGATCAAGGGTAGAATCTCATAGATAAATTACAATGAACAGTAGGCACAACTAAAAGTACATCCTTTGGTGATTGACCTGAACAATACAGATAGATAATCTAATAGAGAAAGAAAAGCAAAATTCACGTACTTCTCATTAATGAACATTTCAACAGCTTTCTCATTTGCTGCACTAAGAACCCCAGTCATGGTTCCTCCTGCTCGACCAGCAGCATATGCCAAGTCCATTGATGGGTACTTGACATTGTCCGGGGCTTTAAATGTCAAAGACCCTAGCCTGCATCACATGATTTTTAAGAATTCGTGTAGAGACAATAAAGTATTTCAAATAATTAATTCAGAGAAAGAAAAAGAATTAATTAGAACATTTTTTTAAGACACGGCAAAAGAATCAGTCCCATAAAAACTTCAGAATTTCAAGAAAATGAAACTTACTTGCAAAGATCAAGGCGTGGCCAAGTTATCTCAGAACAGTAAATTCTTTCTGGCCAGGACATAGTGTAAAGAATGGGCAAGCGCATATCAGGCCATCCTAATTGTGCCAATACAGATGAATCCTTCAAAACCAGAAGAGAATAGAGGAAAAATTTATGTTGTATCAGACCTCAAACATTAGTATATAAATTAGAGTATATTACAGAATGAAGATATCAGAAAGAATTTTTCATTGCTAAAATTTTGGAATAATAATGATGATCACAGAGAAAAAGATTACCTGTGTCTCAACCATTGAATGTATGATGGATTGGGGGTGAATTACAATTTCAATATTATCATAATCAGCCCCATAAAGATAATGAGCTTCAATAACTTCCAGACCCTGCAAACAAAAAGAATCTCCTAAAGTCATCGACACTTCCAGATCTAGTGAGTTGAGAAACTGTCCAAGGAGAAAGAAGATAACAAGTCAGAGAACCAAATGCGCGAAGTTCAGAGCTTTTACCTTATTGAATAGGGTGGCAGAATCCACAGTAATTTTCTTTCCCATGTTCCAATTTGGATGCTTTAAAGCATCAGCTACTTTAACTTCTTTTAACTTTTCAACAGGCCAATCCCTATGTTGCAGCAGATAAAACTAAAAATTGGTACATTTAACATCAACTGGAAAAAAAAAAAAAGGAGAATAATAACTATGCACTTTAAAGAAATGAAAATTTCAAGGAAAAGAAATTGATGTGGAATTTGTTTGGTGTCTCGCTTGCAAAGTCCATGTATGCAGTATGCATACTTTTTTCGCTATGTGCTTTCCATGGGAGGAGATTTCAGATTACATTGTTTCACTACTCGATATAAAACCAGAAGTTGTCAGTTAATCATTTGAAAAGGGAAAACACAGAATTGAGTAAATTTTAATTTCTTTTCGATTTCCTATATTCATGTAGAATCTGGAAACAGAAAGTCAGAATTGAGCAAACAGAACAGCAAGCGAAAGGTCCAACATCAAATTGATAGAAGAATTTGTGCTCTATCCTGATTCGAAGAGGGATCTATAAAATATAATGCTCTCACAAGAGGGTATTGGGAGGATATTTATCTCATAAGACTTCAGTAGTAAACACCACGATAAGGAATTTGCAGGAAACTCTTTAAGTATCTAACATTTCATACCTGAAAGCACCCCCAGATGCTGTTAGAATGATTCGCCGAAGAGCACCCTCGGGCAAACCTTGTATACACTGAAACACAAAATTTATGACATCAGTTGAGTAAGGAGTGTAGCAGATGATTGGAAAAAAGGAGATATCATGTGAAGAGGTAACATGGTAAGATCAGAACATGGTATAAGTGACTTCTGCCTTTAAACAAGAATCAAAAAGAGGGTATTATCCAGCAAAAATATGAATCAAATGTTCAAACCTGGAATATGGCGGAATGTTCAGAATCAGCAGGAAGAATTTTCACTTTGTGTTTGTGGGCAAGAGGAAGAACGAAAGGACCACCAGCAATTAGCGTTTCTTTATTAGCCAAGGCAATGTCTATTCCAGCTTCTATTGCAGCCACTGTAGGCTAAGAAATAGAAAAGAGTACATCAAGATTTTGAGGAGACTCAAATGGAAAACTTCACACAAGCAAAGAAATTTAACAGGAAACACGAAAAGGGAAAAAGAACAAAAGAAAACCGACAAACAAACAAGTTGAATGTTATCAATGCCTGCATCAAGGAATCCTTTTAAGCATCAGCAAAGTTAGATGTTTATGGTCAAAGAAATAATTACCACCATAGGCAAAAAAAATAATGATGCCCTCAATACAGATACAGATCAATGAAAGACAGACTTAATCAAAGCATGGTTCTTCTTATGTAGAGCTCTAGAACACATCATCCATCAAGTCTGCCTCTCAACAGCGACCAAAAATATCTCACAACACATCTACTCCCTCCATTCACAAATAGATGTCGCTGGATAGATTTCACAAAGTTTAAGGAGACAATAATTATCTTGTTAAAATACTATAATGCCCTCATTTACTCTTAATACCTTTGTAGTCCCAATAGCATTTAGTTCTAATACAATTCTACATTAAACATCATTACAGTTTCCAATGTAAGGGCAGTATTAGAAAAAATTGACAAAACATGCCTCGATTTGTAAGAACGACATCTATTTTTGAATATTTGGTTTTTCTTCTAAGGACATCTATTTGTGAATGGAGGGAGTACTAGATAAATATGATTCACAATGAGTCACGACGTGGCACATCGAAATTTGCTTTTTAAGAAAAATGAGAAAAAATTTGAAATTTGTCAGCAGCAAAACTTGCTGTTAAATTCAACATTCTTCAACAATGTCTCTACTCAATAAAGAATTAAATGTCGTCTAGTTTTGTTTGGCATCCAATAGTAGCTCAAAGCCAGGTTAATATTCACAATTTTACACTAACATGATAGATTTCAAAATCCAGAATAGCTACTAAACTCCACAACACATTACACAGCTAAATGCTATTTCGCTACACTTACTACCAACAGTATTGGCAAGTAAATAATATCAACATGTATATCCGCTCACTCTGAAACAACATGCTAATTCAGAAGGACCATTATTATATGACTATGAACACAGATCTTGAATATATTAGCAATTGCATTCAACAAAATATTCATGAATAAATGTACCTTAAGACCTGCACAACCTACAATTCCCGTAACAACTGTAACGGCATCAGGATGACGAGCTACCTGAGATTTACACGGAACAAAATTATGAAACAAAATCATGAACAGAATATGAAACTAATTTTGTTCACCTCAGAAAACACCATGATCGAGGTGGTAACTGACCTCAATTACACCCTGTTCTCCAGGAATAATTTCAGGTTTGTGTTCAACATCAGCTAGAGCCTCTTTCAGCTCATCAACTAATGTCTCATTTCTTACAGCTACCAATTGAGGTTTGAATGTCTTCACCTGTAAAATGAAATTTCTTGTTAATCATAAAGCGCCAAAATCTTAGAGAGTTGCAGACTGCCAATGACCAAGCACGAAACAGACATATCTCCTCAGAAAGGCATATAATTAAGTTTCAAAGTTGTCGTCAACTGATTAAGATGCACCAATTCACCATTCCATATTCATGTGAAAGATAATACATCAAACATCAGAAAAACGTCCTGGGTTCCGAGCTCATAAGGCTCCGAAAATAATCACCAGTTCTTAGCTGTTTGTTCTAGTAATAATTTAACCTTTCCAGGGTGCAAATCATATGTGATTATTATTCATTTAATGGCAGAAGTCAATTCAAATTATTATCAATTGTAGCCTTCAGTGGCTGCAATTTCTGTAGTAGTACCCTTGTGTTTCAGGAAGATTGCAATCAGAACTCAGAAATGCATAAGTCCATGCGTGCTAAACATCAATCAAAACCTATATGCATAAGTTTACCATCATCAAATAGTTTATCTTAAATAGTGCTTTAACAACTTCAGTAACCATTTAGGATTCACTTCCAAACTGATTGCTATTTCATTACCCGAAAAGAAACTCTGGACCTTTGCTTACAAGTCACAATATTGGCATAACAAACAATACAAGTGCTAACCTGATCAGCAAGAAGCGTCACATTTGAACCAGCTGCAAGTGCAACAACTCTAAATTTATCTGGATTCTCGGCAACTATGTCCAAAGTCTGCAGATCAAAAAATTATCTCATTTGATGGGAAAATAATAATATTAAGAACATGAGAACAGCGGTTTTCTTTCCTCCTAGTCTCTTTTGATTTTATGCCTCTGATCTACACATGCATGTACTCTCTTCTCATGGAAGCAAAACATAACTTCTTTAGGAAGATGAGTGCAAATTAGTCAACAACCATGCAGTTTACTTCAACAATCAGTTCATCAAAGAAATCCAATGTTGACCTGAGTACCAATGGAGCCTGTTGATCCAACTATCGAAATAGGCTTAGGACCATCCCAAGTCTTCCGGCCAGGTTCTGCGACAGCCCGCCCTGGCCATGCCGGAGGAGGGGGCTGTGAAGAACATTGAATTTTTTTCCCAACTGTTGCTCCACAGTGTTTTGGCTTATAAGAAAATCCACCTAATGTATATCATAAATTTGGCAAAAAAAAGTTAAAACTGACCATCATCTGAAGTCAGTCAATAAAAGAAAAAACACACAGTAACTAACTACTAACACAGAACCTTCAAATTGATTGACGATTGAAATTACACTTCTAAAGCACTTCAACTTCAACTATTTAACATTTACAAAATTCAAAGCCGACTCTATTTATGCCTAGCAAAACTGACCAACAAATAAACCAACCCAGTAAAATTCAACCAAATTCTACAAAAACTCACAGAAGAAAAAGAAGAAGAAAGAAAGAAAGATGAGAAAAATCAACTACAAATTTGCAACCCAGATCACGAAAGCCAGAAACAAATTCGCCAGAGTTCAAAGTTGGTTCCGAGAGAACAAAACGGGGAATACTGCAACGATATACATTTTCGATAACATAAATGTTGAGTGAAAAAGGGAACAACCTTGGAGCTTGAGATGATTAAGGTTGTAATTTGACTTCGAAGAATCCAAGAAAGAAATGGTCTTGATTTCAGCAGGTGTTAAAAAATTCAACGCCATAATTCCCTTCTGAATCCAAAAACACTGCCAACCCCTTTATCAAAATTTCTAGCTTCTCAGTCTGCTACCTTGAATTTCTTCTCTATTGAAAACTGGTCTACGGTGGATTGGTTTATCGCCCACCCAAAGAGCGACACTAACTATATTATATTAACACAAGAAGAAAACAAAACAAGCAGGATAAGACAATTGGAGCACCATAAGCATCTCGTGGATTGCGTGGGATTTTTCTTAATGAGTATATACTTCTGGATTTGAGAAATGACAATATGCGCAGGTTGTGAGAGGATTTCTTCCTGTCTTTAATAAATAGTAGGACATAACTCTTATTTTATTACCAATTAAAGTTGGCTTATAAAATCATTTCCGATCCGAATGTGTAATATAGTAATAAATTTTGTTCTGTTATACTCCTTCCGTCTCATAATTATTGTCCGGTTTTGATTTTCACTTTTAGTTCAAATTGTACTAAAAGTGAAATCTCAAATTGGAAAATAATTTTGGGACAGAGAGAGTAAAATTGTTTGAGAATAATTATTTGGTTTATAACATGACAAATTAGATAATCAATTTAGGACGGAAAGAATATTGAGTAATAAATGAGTGTGCTATAGCCAACCTTGGCTGGCTGATTACTCCTTGCCATAGACTAAAATGGATGGCATGCTATTCCTTACAACTTAGAAATAAGGTTAATTTCAACAATAAATCCATACTTTATGGTTAGTTTAACTATTAAGTCAAATTTGATGTCTTCAAACAAACAATAATGCATATTCACGTTCAACAAGTTGCCTAACTTGACACATTTTTTTTTCATTCACTAACCAACCCAATTATTCAAGCTTATCAACATTGATTACTAAATTGATACGGCCCTTTGGTAAATAAAAATATTTGATATGTCCAGACAAGAAAGAATTTACTCTTCTGAGATTACTTTGGCGGTTTGGCCCATCTTTGAAAGTTATTTTCCATTTTATTTTCTCAAAATTTTGAAACTTTTGTGCAACTGATTCCTTTTTCTGGTGCCTTTAAAATTTTCTGAATTTGTAGCTTTTTTCTCTTTCCACTAACATATCTATCAGAATTTTAAAATTTTCCCTCTCAAAATTATGTGATCCACAACCCCTTTCTACAGAACTGATGGGTTTTTTCTACTGAGTATGAAATTATTCAAAAGAAAAATGAAAAATAACTCTCCAGTCTTCATCTTCCTCCTCTTTCTCTCAGTCCTACAAGTTATTCACAGTGATTGTAGTATCACAGTAGTGGTTGTGGAGCAAATGGGAAAATTTCACAGCAGTGGTTGTGGGGCAAATGTGATTTTAAGAGGGCAAACTTTAATTAAGAGAAGATTAGTCATTCCCTCTAATCTTAAGCCCCATGTAGATATAGTTCAATATTTCAACCCAACACTGATATAATGTGTCGACCAATTTACAGCACTAAGGTCAGTTGATTCGTAACAAACTCATCTTCATTAGAACGATTCAATTTCCTGAAAGCAGGTAATCTACAAGCACCAAGTGTCATACTAATTGTTTAAAAAGTTTCGGTTTACTTTGCAATTAACCATCGTGGTGTTAATCTCGAACATTGAAAATCTTACAATAGACGTTAAGTTTCAACGTTACAGTTTATAAGAGATATTGTCGGTATGGATTTTCACCTTCATCAACAACCATCAATGGACTTGACTTAATGCTGGTCAAGCTGGAGGGGCCATAGACTTGAATAAAGATTCTTAATGCAGCAACTCAGAAAGCTGTTGAAAATGTTCATCAATGAGAAGCACGTGAACTCCGCTACTCTTCTATTTAGATTTTCTTTCTCTATTGTTTTCATCAATTTCAGCCTGATCAGTACAGTTTGTACTTCCAGTTAAGTTTAACACTGTAATTGATCGATATACTTTTAACAAATATTTCAATCATTGTCAATCATTCTAATTTGTTTCCAAATCACGTAAACCAACCAACCAACCTGTCCGGGCCACTTGATAAATAACTCCTCATATGATAATATTTTCTAATTCGATTGATCAAATAAGGGGCAAAATATAGAGCCTGTAACACGCCTTATTTAGCTATTTTCTCACTCTAATTTCATTGGTCACATGTATGCTTCAAAAAATCAGCATCAAGATGCGAAATTTGTAGTTTTGTTTCGAAATAAGGTCAGGGGCAAGGGCGAAATGAAAGATAAGCAAAACAATGATGCCTTTTGTAAAGAACCTTTTTTAGTTTTCTTTCCAGTCATGTTTACATTCCTTGCATTTGTAAAATATCGTCATTGGTTCATCCGCGGATCTGATCTGCACTTGCTCAAAGAAGGCCTTCCCATGGCCACAATTAGGGCATGGCACTGCAGGAAAAAAAGCATAAAATGTAAACGTTAAAAGGATCCCCCCAAAAAATAGATCAAATGCTCCGGAAAGTATGAATAAAGAGCAACTAAGAAAGAAGTTGCTGCAACACCAAACCAACTCGCATTTTTTAAAGACTGGAAATATTTCAATGCAAGGACACATTTTTGAACCATAAAACTGGAAATATTTCAATGCAAGGACACATTTTTGAACCAAGCACAGCTTGATAAAACTCCAGATTACTCCGGAAGCACACACACAAGAAAAAAGTAAGAAGCAACCAACCTTCAGTCTCTTGTGCTAATTTCATTTCATCTTCTTTGGAAATAATAGGATCTATTTCTTTCTTTACCAACAGTTGTTTTCTCTGTATTTTCACCTGCATTCAGCATCAAACCGACAACGGCTAAGCTAACAACAACAGAAAACTAGACAAAAGAAGCATTCCTTGTGACAGATGATGAGGTTAATTAAATACCTTGGGATCTATTGGACATACATAGGGGCATACTGGACAAAACAATTGTGACGTTTTTCCCATATGTGGCAATTCAAACTGCAACAACATTCCACAGCTTGGGCAAAATTCCATTGGCAATGCAAGTATGCAACCAACTGAAATGTAATGTGGATGCTCCTACAGATACTGATGTCAAAAGGTGAAGGCAAAGATAAGGACCAAAGCTTCCAAATCTCCATCCAAAATGCAAAAATTTAATTTGCACAGGATCAGAACAAAGGCAGTTCAAACTTCTGATGAATATTAAAACTAAATACCGAATCTTGAGCAAATCACAATCGTGAAAATAACCAGTCAATCAGTACTAAGTGATTAAAAACAATAGGTCAGGAGTACGAACAATGAGAACAGAGTACGTTAACACATAAAAGTTCAACCATTCTAAAACTGCAAATTGGTTTGCTCGAGCTATAGCTAAATTCGAGCTCAAGATAAAATTAGGCAACACCAGGCTCGTTTATTTATCACTAACCCTAAAAGCCACCAACCCAACCACTGTCATCGCTGGCTGGGCAGATTGCATGCAAATTAGCCAGAATCCAGCCAGCTGACAATGACGAAGATGATTTTGAGGAGATAATCCAAAACACAAAATATGTACTCCTTCAATCTTAGAATGATTATCTTGTAAGTAGTCCGGAGCAATCTTTAGCATGTTTTAGTTAAACATATTTTTTTGAGAATGCAATCTAAATAGACTCCTAAGTAACTTCTTAGTGAAAATCAGGGGAAAAAAAATCAGAATCACACAGCAATAGATTTATGATGCCAAAACCTTAACTTTAATCAGAACAATAATCGTACAAATTAAAAAAGCATACTGGATAATCTATACTGAAGAAGAAAACAAAATCATAACCCCAAAGAAATATTAAGCATGGAATAACAATCAAAATTAAAAAATTATTAACCCATTCATATGTTTACCTGAGCGATTAATGGTGGAAAGTTGCAGCTCTGAAAGCTCAATTGAAGCTGAACAAAGTTAATTAGGGTTTTAGGATGATGGGAGGAGGAAGATGGAAGTTCGGTTATATAATTATCTGCTTTATACTATTCTCTCGGATTGTATTTATATTGTTTCTAAAAATTAATTAACGAATTAGTACTAAAAAAAGAATTATTAATAATTAAATCATATTTATACCCAAGTCCCTATAGATAATTAACTTTCAGTATAAAGTAGAAAAAGGGGGAAACCCGTAAATCATAAAATCAGTTTTTAGAAGAAAACGGCAAAGATTGCAGCAAACCGGCGGCAATGGCAACTCCGTCGTACCATCAGCCGGCGACACTTGAAGAAGTTCGAACCCTTTGGATTGGCGACTTGCCTTATTGGGCCGATGAGTCTTTTCTCAATAGTTGGTTCTCTCACACAGGCGAGGTAAAACCACTCTAAACCGTCAATCGGCAAACTTAATTTTTATTTTGCATTTTTGTGCGTGAGTCCTTTTTTTGGTCGTTTTTTTTGGCTTGGATTTTGTTTTTAATGCTTGTTCAAAATTGATGTTTGGTGGGTTTTTCAATTTTGAGGTTTTCTGGGTTATGGCGACGCATGGTTTTATTGGGAAGGTTAAGGTTCTAGGGATGGGTTTTCGTTTACCATGTGTGCATGTGTGAAGTAGTTTGTATTAAAAGTGGATTCTAGAATGAAACTAGTGTCTGTATGAGTGAATTCTGTTGTTTCATAGAAGAAGATAGACTGGTCATGGCTGAAACTGCTCGGTTCTTCTTGCGGCACATGTAAAATACGCTTTCTACCTTACTTCGAAGGGCAAAATTGTGTGTTTCTTGTAATTTACAGGAGAAATCATGCAATAATTATATTTCCGTTGTGAACTGTTTATAGGTTGTGAGAGTTACAATGTAAAAATAAGAATTGAGAAAAACTATGCGCTAGCTGTGAATGTGGCTGATGTAGTCGCTGCTGAGGAATTTTTACAATTTTGGTGTACTATCTGTTAAATTGTCTGCTGACATCAAATGACAGACATACTCTAAATCAATTTTTGGTCGTTGTAGGTGCTGTCAATTAAAGTAATCCGAAACAAAATCACTGGCCAACCAGAGGGTTATGGCTTCGTAGAGTTTTCTTCTCATGCTGTAGCTGAGAAGATCTTGCAATCCTACAATGGAACACAAATACCTGGGACGGAGCTTAATTTTAGGTTGAACTGGGCATCTTTTGGCATTGGAGAAAGACGCCCTGATGCTGGTCCGGAGCATTCCATCTTCGTAGGAGATTTAGCACCTGATGTCAATGATTATCATTTGCAAGAGACCTTCAGAGCTCATTACCCGTCAGTTAGGGGAGCCAAGGTTGTCACTGATCCAAGTACTGGACGGTCCAAGGGGTATGGATTTGTCAAATTTGCTGATGAGACAGAAAGGAATCGTGCGATGACTGAAATGAATGGAGCGTATTGTTCTACAAGACCAATGCGTATTAGTGCTGCAACACCTAAGAAAACCACCTCCAATGTTTTGCAACAACAGTATGCAGTAGCTAAAGGTGAGACTAGTTTCCAATTTTTTTTGTTAGATCTTAAATTGATATGTTATAATCCATCTTGAATTCTAATGGAAGTATATGATCAAATGTCACTATAAAGTTGTTCTAGTCTTTTTTATAGCTTTTTAGTTTCTTTCTTAATAAGATGGCAGAAGGAAGATATGGAAGTCTGAGGAAGTTTAATTCCCCAAAATTTGTTGCTTGATAATTTTTCGGAGTACTAAGCATTAGATTTTACTCTTTTCCATCTTGCTTGGTGTTAATTGTCCCTGCGAGCCATTAATATGTTTCAAAATGGATGTAGACAGCATTTTTGAGGAGCTTTGGGATCAGAATGTCAATGGTTGTAAAGATTCATATACTTCTCTCTTATTGTAATGTGTGACTTCTGGATTGTGGGAGAAACTATAATCAAGTATCACTGGAACTCATTAAGCATTGGTCGAAGTTGTCTTTTGTATGACCTCTTTTATCACTTGTCACAATTAATATATTAATCCAGAATTTCCGTAGCATTCTATGTGGATCTTCCGTATTGTATCTGTTATCTTCTGTTGTTGCACCTTTGTAGATGGGAATTTCCTCTACTTGATTTTGGTGTTGTTACTTATGTAAACTGAATTACTGGTTTTCATGGCAGCACTATATCCAGCAGCTCCAATTTATACTCCACCTGTGCAGACAATCCCTGTTAATAATGATGTAAATAATACCACTGTAAGTCAGAAATTTCACATTTGCACTTCTAGATGGATTTATCTTTTCTGTTCTGGGTTGCTCTAACTATTCTTTCTATGTCACAGGTATTTGTTGGTAATCTTGACCCAAATGTAACAGAAGATGAACTGAAGCAAATCTTTCTGCAGTTTGGGGAGATTGTTTATGTTAAGATTCCTGCATCACGGGAATGTGGCTTTGTGCAATTTGCTGCAAGGTATTGCTGAGGACATGAAATTTTCTCTAATTAACTGTCAAAATGCAAAGGGCAACTTATTGCATCTTTATTCTTCTGTACTCTTCATCCTGCTTGGATGTCAAATGAAACTTTTCTGGGTTTTCTGGTTCAATCAGGAAACTAAAAGTAAAATTATTCTGTTGAATAAATTGATAGTTATACTCCCGTAGTAGCATTTGGTAAACAGATATTGGTGTTTTGACATTTATGTTTCATTGTGAGATAGTTCCTGAATTTCTTTGGTGTTTTATGTCTTCTTTTGCATTGAGATACAATCTTGTTTTTTTGCCTCATATCTTATTCAAATTCAAATTTATTGTTTTATCCATTGCAAATGGAGCTGGAAGAGTCATCATTGACAATTCTTCCAGCTTTGTGCTAAAAATGGTTTAGATCAAAATGGCTCATTTAAATTCTAACGCTTCTTAATTTTGGTGAAATTTCCGGAAATCATCAATACATAAATGCACCAGTGTGCATCTCGGGTCGTACTACTTAAACAGCCGCTCTGTATTGAAATACAGAGATAAGGCTGTGTACATCTTGACCCCCAGACCCCAACCCAGTTGGGAATACTCTGGGTATGTTGTATATGCAGTTCTCGGACTGTTCTAATCTTTTTATAAATTCCAATTTTATGCAGGACATCTGCTGAAGAAGCTATTCGGCGGGTGGGTTTTGTGATTGGGCAGCAAGTCGTCCAGCTTTCATGGGGCAAGAGTCCAACTTCAAAACAGGTGTGCTTGATTTTTGGATTGGCTGACTATACAGCTAGGATATGCTATTCGTATGTAGTATTTGCTTTTACTGAGCTGATTTTAGTCAATCAGATTATCCCATATGTAATGCATGTCAGAATGGGAAGTTTTGAATAAGAAACAGCATAAATTGTGTGACATGTTTCAACAAAATTATAATTTTGGAATTCTATGATATCATTTGCAGGACCAAGCTGGTGCATGGAGCACAGATCCCAGTCAATGGGGTTCTTATTATTATATACCCGGGTATGATCCATACTCGCAGGTAGTTGCACAAGACCCATATGGTGTTGGTTATCCTTACCCTGGTTACGCTCCGTACCCCCAACAGGCAAGAAACTGATTGTCTTTGAATCATAATCGCTTATTTTGTTATCTCTCTTGCTTCTCTGCTTTGCTATAAACTTTTAATCACAGGGCTTAAATTTTCATTTGCTATTCCTTTCATGGTACTATAAAGGCCTTATTTGTGGGAATTTACTCCAATGTTCCGAATTTTAATTTTCATCATCTTGTTGCAAGATATTTGTGCTGTGATTGTTTTACCGTACGGGCAAAACCAAGTTAGAACTTGTAGGTAGGCACTAGGATGTAAATGTCGCATATGTGGGGAATGTCAGTTTCGTAAGCATGAACCTTGCAATAAAATGAATGGCCTTATCAGTGAGTATGTGGCATATGCATCTACAACTTCGAGGATTGACAGTTTACTGTAGAAAGGAATCCATAAAGAAGTTGTATGTATAATTTAAACTGGTTTGAACAAGTTAAGATATGCATCCTCTATATTGTGTGTGACTGTAAATTGCATTGGTACTAGGGGAAATTTTTATTTAACAATTATGGTGCCAGAAATTAAAAATAAATTTACCAGAAGCAGATGTATAGATGGATGTGTACACCTTGTTCTAGTTAAGATCAGTAATCAATACATCGGAAAGGAAGTGGATGTGCATCATTACATTTGAAAGAAGAGAAGCACGCTGGAAAATGTTTTTGATGCTTGCGTATCAGATCTTTAGATGCCTTGGTAACATGTGTAGAAAACATTATATCGTTAGCTCGCACATTTTAATGGGAAAGAGAAGGCCTGAAAAGGAATGGAAAACTTATTAAAAGAAACAGACTTTAAATTAAACTTAAAAATGAGGGCATGTACCATTTGCAATTCTAAGTGTTTCCTTGTTTAAATACTATCAAGATTATGTGTTGTGATGAAGAATCACGTTCCAGTTAAGGGTCTATCTAGATTTTATGTTGATGTTGTTTTGGTTTTTGTGCAATGAAAATGCCACATAGATGCTATCTTCCTGAAGAAAGGAAATTTCAGCTCTGCAATTCAAGAAATGTCCTTAATGTTCTAAGAAGTTCAGTCACCTTTAAACCGAGAGTAATGATTGTTAATTTTTGTTAGGCTAGAAAAATCTTTTGAAATTCTCAACCTTAAAAGATGTGGAAATATTTTCTTATCAGGAAAATAATTTAATTTATTGAAACTAAAGCAATTCTATGAAATGGACTATTCTCCCTTATGGACAGGGAAAATCATAATAGCAGTTCACAACCCTCATTCTTCATCTATATTTGATTGCAATTCATGACGGGATGGTTGAAATTGCAGTTTGTGTTTATAGATGTGGTTGAAATTGGAGTTTGTGTTTATAGATGCCTCAATACAAATGGTTAATCATATTCGCATATAAGTAAATAATCCAGTAAAATGAACCCATCTGTCTATGGTTCGCACCTGTTGGCATTTTCCAGCTTTTTGTCCAGTGTGTGATTGGATGAATATGTTACTGGATGGAGTTTATGCTTGTTTTCTTATGGAAAAGATGTTTTTCTTACCATTTCTTTTACAGGCTGACGGGTCGCAAGATCCTGCAGTGATATCACCTGCTGCCCCTGCTCTGGAACAAAGAGATGAAGTTTATGATCCTTTGGCTACACCAGATGTCAACAAGTAAGTCCCTTCTCTCTTGTGCAACTTTTTCCTCCACCAAGATCTGCCTTTCTTTTCCTTTGCGTAATTTTACTGATGAAAGTCTTTCTTGGAACTAGGTTAAATGCAGCCTACATTGGTATCCATGGAAACACCATTTTGGGCCGGCCGATGTGGCTGAAAACTTCCTCACTTGCCCAGCAATCTTGACTATGGTGGTAATATTTAGTGAGCTAAAACTGCATTTCAGTGGCTTAATTTTTACTAGAATGTTAGTTTACTAGCGGCAGGACCCTACTGCTTTGGCATTCTCAGTTATTAGTCTGGCCTTTTTGACCATTTTAGTTTTCTTGCATCCTTTATTTATTTATTTATTTATTTTGTTTTGTATCTCGTGGTCCCGTGTCTATGGAAACGTATGGGGTAAAATAGGATATTCAACTTGATTCCACCCATCCAAAAGCGTGGAGCAATATTATATAACCCATAGAGGATGGTTTTAACTCAAACCAAAAAGAAAACGGTGATCGATCTATGTTGTATTCGATAATCTGCACTATTTATGTTTCTTTTTTTTTTTTGTAAAATTTATTATGCAGTAAAGTTACTAGGTGATCTTAGCTCTAATTGATGATAATTAAGAAGATTCAACCATGGTGTTGAAGAGGAGAGATATAGAGAAAAAGCGTGTCTTTATCATCTTGCAATTAGCTCAACGAATCCGAAAGGAAAAATTGAAACAAATTCTCCACCACTTTACAATTTTTGTAACAATCTTGAACCAAACACCTTCATCTTCATCTACTAGTGAAAAGTTGGAGTCCAACCCTTACCCCAACGGTTTTTGGAAAACAAAGATTAAATTTCCTTATTGTTTGGAGCGTCGACAATCTATTATTATTACAGGAGAACATTTTTTTTTAGGGGTTTTGATCAATTACAAACTGGATAGGAAAGCTTTCCTTGACAAGTTGATTTCATTGCTTAAAGCAAACTTTGCTTATCTCAAAGATTGGTTTATGTGTTTTAATGGGACCGATTGGGAATAGTCTCGAAGATATCCAGATATGGTAATAACCTTAAGTTCATGTTCGCGGCACTAAAACACATACAAATTAGTCCACATGAATTATTACTTTTTTAAAATTGCAGTTAAAAACTGTTTCCAACTTAGTGTTCACAGCAGCATTTTAAGTACCTCCTTCGGTAGATGATTCAGTAACGCGCGTGATCTGTTGCTCCCGCCAGAAAAAAGCAGCAAGCAGGTGCGAGTTATAAATATTAAGAAATTATCTACCGTTGGCGGTGCCTATATATAGAGTTGGATATCAAGGCAACTAGTAATGGTGCAGTTACATGTGAATAACAAACAGTATGAAAAAAAATTAAAATACTAAGTCTTAATGTTAATCCCATATTGTATAATATCTAAGGAAACAGAATTTTCCTCAACGCCGGGATAGATTTTTTTTAGTACTTGGGGAATTTATTGACAGAGTAAAATATTTCTGGGGCAGTGTGTAAGACTTACCCCGGAGAAACCGTCAATTAATGACAGTGATTTGAATATTAGTAAACTATATCAGGAATAGACTAGTACAGTATAATAATGATAGAGGACAGTAATCATTTCCTCTGTGATTCGCATATTGTGGATCACTGTTCACGGATTGCCGCATTTGGTGGGTATATTTGAGAATTTCGAACAGTGAGTGAAACACAGAGAATTGCTGCTTCCAAGTTGTCACCTAACTAAACCATATCCCGATACAGTTTATTTATAGACCAGAGAAGCCGGTTTCCAAGGGAACCCGGTTTTTTGAACTAGAGAACCGACGAACTGATTTTTAAAGCCGATGGATCCGTAACCGGCTGTGGGAGAACCGGATTTGTGGCCGGAGATGAAAAGCACGATATGCGTTGACCGTGAAGGATTGAGATGGCGGGTCACTCGGCATCTGGGTGGCATCAGATCAGAGCTTCTCTGGCCGGCTGATCTGGGATTTTTCACAGATGGCCGCTTCTAGCATCGGACCTCGGTGGCTGCCTGAAGAGAGTAGAAGACAGCGGTGACGGCTGTATTTCAGATCATAAAGGGCATGCAGATCTCAACAGATCTGGCGACGTCTCCGTGGATCCGTCTTGTTGTGACTGGCTCTGCAGCAGAAAGTGGAGGCCGTTCATCTGAATCGTCGCCGGCGATCGCGTCACCGCGGTGGTCGTTGATCTGGTCACCAGATTCAGATATGTAAATCTGTGCTGTCGACACAAGTGGGGGTCTCCGGTGGTCAGGTTTATGGCAGCAGAGGACGGAGGAGGCCATGCCTATTTTGAAAAAAGAGAAACAAATTTGGAAAAAAGAAGGCTCCTCCGACCACCGTTAATGGCGGTCGGGGGAGTAGAAAAATTCCGGCGAAAAAGTCTTTTTAGAGAGAAACAAGAGGCTTTTTAGAGAGAGATAAAAACCCTAGGAAGAGTGTTTTCATGTAAGTCGGGATAGATTATGATCGAGTAAAGCTCAATAAAGTCGGGACGGATTTCAAATTACAATATATATATATATATATATATATATATATATATAACAATTGCTATAAAACAATTGTTAAGTTTCATTGTGCACTTAAAATAGTTTAGCCAAATTTTTTTACAAAATATTGGCTCATCAAATCATCAAGGGGAATGATATTTTAATCATATAAACAAATCATCATATTGGACACCTAACTTCTGCGATTGAATATCCAATGAAAGAAGTTCAATCGGTACATACCAAGCTATATGTATAATTATTATCAGCACGTATTTATGAATTGGAAAGCGTCTGTTTGGATAACCCCCGCTTTTTCATATTATTTTATCATTGTTTTTTAAACTAAAGTCGCGCACTTGAGTTTAGACAAATCCACTTTATGGATTGAACACAGTAACAGTGTACACGGTCCTGTTTGATTGGTTTGAAGGCTCAAGTATTGGCAAAACCAGATTTTACGGTCTCAAAAATCACAGACCGAATCAGCCATTTTCAACCACTAGGACTGAACCGGTCCAACTGTATTTTAACGGTTTGGTGCGGTCCGGTTTCGGTTTCGGCTGAATTTTTTTTTTTTTCTTATGAAGTCCAATCTCTAATGAAATCTAGCCCATATTAATGGTCCAAATTTGGTTAAACTTGTGAATAGTGGACCAGAATTTAAAGAATAATAATGGGCTAAAGGCCCAAATTATTAAAAAACTACTCTAACTACAACAATAGTGGGCCAAAGGCCCAAATTTGTATAACACATAAAAATTGTACACGAAAGGAGGAGTTTCGAACTCAGCACCTTTCGCCTAACATACAAAGAACCAACCACTAGAGCATCCTTTCAGATATATATTAAAACTAGAGGGTTATATTAATACAGTGCGGTTCTGTTTATATGGTCAGCCTCTAAATACAAACCGCAACCGAACCGAATCCTACGGTTTGAAATATATCAAACCGGCCGACCGTTTTTAATATCATACAATCCGGCCAAACCGGCAAAAATAGTTCGGTTCGGCCGGTTTGGCTGGTTTCGGCCGAACCATGTTCAGCTCTAGAACACAACCTCTTTGACTATTCGCCACGGTAATTATCCCTAAGTTTCAATTTCTAATCCGAGACATATGATTGGGCCTTTTATTTTAATGTGTTTGGGCGGCATCTGTCCTTTTTCCACAGTTTCAAGGGCACAATTTTTGGTCAAGCAATCACCAAAAAGAGAAACTGTAACACGAGAAATGAAAGGAAGCTACGATTTACTAACAACATCAAAGGGATAGATGACATTGTCAAACCGAAAGAACTTTTTGCTTAGAAGAAGTTGAGAAACTAGCTAAAATGGTTGCATCCGCTTTGTAAAATTAATACTCCCTCCATCCTAAAAAAAAAAAAAAAGTTCACATTGAGTTTTGAATTTTGTATTATTTTTAGTACAAATTTGAAAATTCAATGTGAACTATTTTTTTGGGACGGTGATAGTATGATATATTAAATCAATAATAATAGTTTATCTCGAAATTGAAAGCAGGGATATAGATAACATATTAAGCAAATTATACATCAAATGTCTAGCTCGTAGTTTTGTGAGTTGTTCTTTCAAAACAGTAGAGCGAGCGAGTCACAATAGAAAATGCTCATAGGTTAGTGTAGAGTTTGATGATGAGCCGAACATCGAGGAATTGGAGCCTGATTGATGCCGATTTGTACAGGAAAATAGACTTGTGAATATTAGGATCTTTTTAGTTATTAATGTACATATAAGGATATGGTAGTAAATATTAAAACAATAGGTCGGTTAGTTTGTGTATAAATACCGCAAAATACGGTTTGTATAGAGTAAGTTGATTTATCCCCAAATTGGAGAAAAGCTTCCGCAGCAAGAATCCTAGAATTGATTCATTGTTTTTTCTCTAATCTTCAAGTTGTTTGCCTGCTATTTCTTGAGTTAGCACGAGCACTTCTACAGTCTATTCACAGTTTGTAAGTGTTTGGTGTGAATCAATATATATATTCTCTGTTTTCAGAAAAAAAAAAAAAAAAAAGCAAATTATTGTGACTTCGGGTGGCTGCGAAGAGGCACAAGCTTTTTTATTTCTCATCCTTAGTCATATTCCTGAGTTCTTTTCTTTTCTTTTTCGCTTTTTATCGTTTATTTGTTCAATCAATATTTTGCCTTTTCTTTGGAAGGGTGACTGGCCGCCTGAAGACCTTTTTTTTTTTTTTTTTTTTGTATATGCGGATGGATCAATCCATGAAGATCTCGTACTCATCGTTATCCATCCACAATTTGACATGATCCTTTTTTTTTTTTTTTGAATAGCTGGCCAGGAAAGATATGTTATTGGTGGCTGCGATTCTTGGGTTCATGATTCATGCATTAACATTGCAACTAAAACTTGCTGTTCCAGGAAAAAGAATAGTTTAATTTTTGAATTTTAAATCTAAAAAAGAGTATAGAAATTTATATTTCGGAAATGATTATCCAACATTTTTACTATAAGTACAGTATAGGACAAACAGTTTGAGATAGAAGAATTATAGTCTAAAAAACTATTTAAAAATTCTTAAATACTATTGAACTTTTTCATATTAATGTTATATTAAAATTATACAATTTATGGATTTTGACCACTATCTCGTGATTAAAAAAAATCCTCTTCTCCCATCGTAACGTATAAATATCATTTAGACCTAGAAAAGTAGCTGAACTTCGATAGTTTCGAATTGTCTTACTTTAAACTTAGTATTAACCGTCATGCTAGCAACTATTTTTTTAAAAACAAAAATAGGCAATCATTGAGAACATGAATATATATATATATATATGATGTGACAGTTCTAGTGGAGCATGTGTCCTAAATAAAAAGATACAAAGACCCTTGGGATACTTTGCACTTGGCACTAGAAAACATGCGCTTTATACTTTACATTCTGTCTTTGAGTAGTTGGAACTTTGCTAAGGGCCTAAGGCTATGGAGATGGAATAGCGTCGAATATTGTAGGGATTTATGGACTAAACATACTTGTGATGTAATATTTTGTATGATTTGTGTGTGGTTTAATTCTTGTTAAATGAACTATGACTAGGGTTTTAATTATTCCTATGTTCTTCCTCCTCACTAAAAGCACACGCAACACCAACGTTCCAATGTCGTTTTTCTTCTTGTTTCTTGTTGCTTGAAGCTGAGGACTTTAGGAGCTGGTATAAGAAGTTTGCATGTCTTTGATAATCCACATTCTGCAATCCACATGTCCAGGAGAAGGGCAAGATCCTAAAACCAAAAAATAAAAATGAAATCCACAGTCCAAATCTATCTATATCTATCTATGTATTATACTAAGGCAAAAACCAGAGAGAGAAAACTAAAGGCATAAAGCACATGCCACATATGATTAAATCCTATGTGGCATTTTCTTAATTTCTTAGACTTAAAAATGCACAAAACAAAAGAATAAAACAAAAAAAAAAACAACTAAAATAATTATTAAAAAAATAAAATAATAAAAACAGAACCCTTATTTTCATGAACCAAATCCTAACACAGAGATTGATTGGAGAGAGTACCAAATCCTAATAAATTTTAGAGAGATCTGCATAAACCTTATCATCAGTGAATTTAAAATGTCATTTAAAAAAAATAAATTCCTGTAAATCCAGAAGTAATCATGTTTAAAACTGAAGTCATTACATATTTTATAAGAATACAAAATTTATGTAAAAATGTCTAAATGTGTATGACTTTCCTGTCCATCGGACGGGTCTAACACCTTGTAGACTTTAAAAAGCAAGTTTATTTTCTACTACGAAAATTGTATTCTATTGTTAAGATAAACTTTGAAATATATAAACTTAAAATGATTTATATAATTTTTGTTCGGAAAAATAAGCATTAACTACACATTCATGAATTTTTATATCACAACTCATCAAAACGAGCCGAAGTAAACTCTAACATAAAATTTCTATATAATAGAAAGGGCGAAGGCTGCAACTTGTGCGGCCAGCCAACTCTAGTATGTATGTATATATACTGACGCCCTCCTAACTTACCCCAAAATACTATACATATGGTATAATTTTCAATTGATTCCTCATCTTTTCTTCAGACCATATCTTTCTGGGAAATCATTTTCCTTCTTTCTTGCTACAACATCGTTGTTTCTTTGTTTAATTACGCGTGCTTGCTAAACTAGGTATCAATTAAGGAGCAACGGTTCTTAACTTTATATTTTCAGTTTCCTTAAATCGATGGAGGGTACCGTCAAATGTGCTGCGAATTATGTTCCTTTGAGTCCCATAAGTTTCTTGGATCGGTCAGCCATCTTGTTCGCAGATAAGGTTTCCGTAGTGAATGGTGACCTCGACTTCACTTGGGCAGAGACTCGAGAGAGATGCGTCAAGCTTGCTTCTGCACTTCAACAACTCGGAATTTCCCGTCATGATGTGGTAATCAATTAAAATTTCTTTCTCCTGTTTTATCCTTAATAGCACTTCACTAATTAGCCACTTTTTTAAGTAATTACGTACTAACATATTCTAAAACCTATCTTTTTCACTAGTAGTGGGATAAGATAGTTATTATGTGTATAGACATTGTTTTCATTTCATGTTCCTTTTAGATTTGAGGTACTCATTCTAAAGATGTTTTGAGTGAAAATTCAAAATGTTACTACTTATCGTATTTTGAAATACATCAAATTAGAGATATCTTTATTGTCCCTCGTGTTGGTTCCAGAGGTAGGTGGTCCCATGCATGACAACATTTAAAAATTAATTCAAATTGTTTTTGAAACGAAAATTAACATGATAATACAAAGGTATGGACAATTTTTTTTTTTTTTTATCAAAATATATAATTGAGAAACCAAAATAAGTTTGGCTACAAGAGACTATGTACGTATTTATCCATCGAAGGGGTAACACATTCCATAACATCAACTATAGTTTGATGTTTCGTTTGGAGATCATCCCTTCATTAGTAGTGGTCCAAAAGATGCTACTGATCCGTTTCTTTAGTGATGGTCCAAAAGATGTTTTATTTTCTGTTTTTGCGAAAAAAAAATAAAAATTTATCCATACTTCTGTAGGGTCACTCAATCAACTCTATGGTCCCATAAATTCTTGTTTGAATATAATTGCTTACTTTCTTTAGACAAAAAACCAAAAAAAAGGAAAAACAAAACAAAATGACAGTTCTTAAACCGTCAAGTGGATTTCAATGAATAAAAATCAAACAAAACACAGAGAATGCTCGACGTACGGAAGAAAAAGCAACCTTTGGAAGGTTACAAGATATGAAAAAGAATCTCCCTCTAGTTCTAATTATTACAAAATTAAAATTAAATTTTATGTTAATTTGTAACTTTATAATAGGAGTAGAATACAACCATGAACCAACTATGTTGCTTTGTTATTTGAAAAATTAAAACCAAACGATTTCTAGCCCTTTCTGCTGTATGTTTTATGTTTCTCAACTCTTAAAACTACCTTGTCAAACTAGTCACTTCCTCAATCTCTGTAAAACCCAAGATCTTAACAAGACATACATTTTGAAATAGATGCTGCAATTATATATATATATATAAAAAAACTATGGCTTGGAAATTGAATAATATTTTAATTGATGGGAGTTGACCCAAATTCAATATAATTCTCATCAAGAAGTTTGTAAAACAAGGTTTTCTTATATTTAAACAGAGTCTACTAGGTAGATTTTTTTTTTGTTTTGTTTTTATAGTATGGTTTTATTTGAATTCACAATTGTTTTTTTTTTCAAAACTTTTAGTTAATACATTTTCCATCTCAACATAATTCTTTTTTATTCTCAATACAACATTTTATATTTTTGCCAAGAAAAAACACATTGGCAAGATGTTCTAAACAATGGCTAAGATAGGTATCAAGGTTCTGAACCACGGTGAAAAGAAAATTTAAATAAATAAAGAAATATTTTTTGGTATATTACACACTTGATTCTAAAATTATTGCTCCGATTAATGAATTTTTTTTTTCTTTGATAGTGAATATGGAAGAATTTATGTGTGGTTCCGGCACTACAGACCTCTGATTGTCAAATTTGATCATAACACTGTCGCTATTTAATACTCCCTTCGTCCCATAATTATTGCCCAGTTTGGGTTTTCATTTATAGTTCAAATTGTACTAAAAATGAAATCTTAAATTGGACAATAATTTTGGGACAGAGGGAGTAATATTTTTTTTTAAGCGCAAACTTGGAGTATACTAATTCAACGAAAATGTATGGATCGCGCATGCATTTCATTTTTCATATATTTATTTGTGCAAACATAAAGAACAAATTGGAGTGAAACAGATTTCTACTTATAGGTTGCTGCCATGATCCCTAATATTCCAGAAATGTTCGAGCTACATTTTGGTGTCCCAATGGCTGGGGCAGTTCTGTGTACTCTAAACATCCGCCATGATTCCGCAATGGTGTCATCAACCCTCAACCACTCGGATGCAAAATTAGTTTTCGTTCATTATCAGCTTCTTAACGTTGTCACAGGGGCTTTAAAGATTCTGTCTGAGTACTCTTCCAACAAGAAGTTACCTCAAATAGTAGTCATAAACTCATTAACTCACCATCTGAATGGGGATTCAGAAAGCGGAGTCGAATCACGGCTACTAGAATATAACTCATTGTTGGCATCCGGGCGACCGGATTTTGAGATAATCCGGCCACTTGATGAATTGGAACCTATTTCTCTCAACTACACATCAGGCACAACGTCAAACCCTAAAGGCGTAATCTACAGTCACAGAGGAGCATACCTGAATTCGCTAGCTGCCGTTCTTCTGACGGAGATGAAATCGATGCCGGTGTATTTATGGACCGTACCAATGTTCCACTGCAACGGCTGGTGCCTTACGTGGGCTGTCACGGCGCAGGGCGGTAAGAATGTTTTTCTTCAAGACGGCGTTGTTACGGGAAAGGAAATTTTCGAATGCATCGAAAAGCAACGGGTGACCCACATGGCTGGCGCGCCAACAATCCTGAATCTAATGGTAAACACGCCGGAAACCGACCGTAGGCCGGTTCCCAGAAAAGTAAGCGTGATGACAGGTGGCGCACCACCTCCACCGCAGGTGCTCTTTAAGATGGAGGAGTTAGGGTTTGATGTCACTCATGCCTATGGTTTGACGGAAACTTACGGCGCCGCGACGATTTGCGCCTGGAAGCCCGAATGGAATACCTTGGCACCCGATGCACGTGCGAAGCTGAAATCTCGTCAGGGTTTGCAACATCTTGGCATGGAAGAAGCCGACGTGAAAGATCCGGCGACGATGAAAAGCGTGCCGGGAGACGGTAAGACAATGGGGGAGGTGATGTTTAGAGGGAACACGATAATGAGTGGTTACCTAAAAAACCCTGAAGCGACGGAGAATGCGTTTAAGGATGGATGGTTTAGGACTGGGGATTTAGCAGTGAAACATCCTGATGGATACATAGAGTTAAAAGATCGGTTGAAAGACATAATCATGTGTGGGGGAGAAAGCATCAGTACTATTGAGGTGGAATCTGTGATCTACAGTCATCCAGCTGTGCTTGAGGCCGCTGTTATTGGAAAACCAGATGATTATTGGGGTGAAACGCCTTGTGCATTTGTGAAGCTCAAGAATAATGATGATGATGATACTGTGGTAATTAGTGATGCGGAAATCATCCAGCACTGCTGTGATCATTTGCCCGCTTACATGGCTCCCACAACAGTAGTTTTTGCGGACTTGCCTAAGACTTCCACTGGGAAAATTCAGAAGTTCCTACTTAGGCAAAAGGCTAAGGATCTTTCTCAACCTAGCTAGCGACCATTTGCCTTCCTTTGATCAAGAAACCAGTATTCAAACATATCGAAACATATTCCAACATTTTCGCTTATGTATTCCCTTCGTCCAGAAGAATATATTAAGTTTTGAGATTTGTATACTATTTAATTTTGAGACAAAATTCGTACTATTTATTCAATTCGTGGTTTAAGAATCGGATCTCATTTTGGATTGGAAGGGGTTTATGGCTGTCTAAAAGGCTTTAGACTCCGTTAATGTAACAATAATCCAGTAGTATAAAGTTTTTGAGGGAATAATAGTAGTTTGTTTACATATAAATATGTTTTTTTTTTTTCTGTACGTGCATCAGTTCTATAGTTTTAATTTTTCTTTTTCTTAAACGATTTCTAGCCAAATAATTAAAACAAAGAAAATTGATTACGTTTTTTCCTTTTTTTTCTTTTAATTAAAAAAGAAATATTCCTTCTGTCCTAAAAGAAAAAAAATTCAGATTTAGCTTGGAGATCCTTCAAAAAAAAATGCATATTGAGTTTTGAGACTTATATTATTTAGTACAAATCTTAAAATTTAAAATAAATTTTTTGGGACAAAAAGAATTCCTAATATTGGCATATGAGAGAGAACAAAGTGTTATACAAATGCCCAAAGGTGAAATTGAAGGGACACCCTGCGTTATCTTTTCAATATTGTGTATATATTGAAGTCAGAAATGGACGAAAATTAGGCTCCATTTGGACAAGTGTTTTGAAAATTTGTTTAGAAAAGTCATTTGAACCAAAACTTAGAAAAATACTTTTTGAAAAATATGCATTTGGACAAGAATTTTTCAAAACCTTTTTAGTAATTAAAACTATTAAAAAGTCTTGGACTAGGTCCTTTTCAAAATTACTTTTTCTTCAATTTGTGAACTTTTTTTTTTAAAAAAAAGAAAATCATTTTTACACAAATTATCATTTTTATTTTTTTTTCACTTTTCTTTCCTAAATTTTTGTTTTATTATTCGCAATTATCTTGTTCCAAAATTACTACAAGCACAACCTACTGAGGGGAAATATGTGCAAGTTAATAAATGAATGCCCTGCTATACTAAGCTAAAAGACCAAAGGGTTATAAGCATCTAAGAACTGGAAAGGTGCATGATTTGAGTTCAAGAAATAAGCTGTTAATCCTGCTAGTAAGACTATCAACATCGCCATGACTACGTACATTCTGCTATTCTTCCGCGCCTTGATCAGATTATTATCCTCCATTTTTTAATCCAGATTATTGCCATTTTTTGCACTGTTGGAAATGTCCATTTCATTTTGATCTGAAGATGCAGTATTAAGTGTTTCCTCCACCTGGATCAACAAGTTTAACATCTGTATTAGGATTAATGCGAGGCAGGATGAAAGATGATCAGATTCGCAAAAATGATAGATATGATTGTTATAAGTTTCATTTTCGCTTCAAAACTGCACTTCTGAATATGCCAAAAGAAAACTACTTTAAATGCACAAATACAGAACATTTGACTAAGATTGGTAAAGAAATCTTACCAGAGAGTTGGAGACTGATTTTAATGACTTTCCTTGTGATTCAGCATTCAACGACGCATCAGCCGAGTCAGCTCTAGATGTTGGCAACATTTTTTCACTCTTATCAATGTCGTCTGCAGTCCAGTATTCATCCTTTTCAGTCTTTCTTAGCTTCACTTTGAGGAACTTGTTTTCTTTTGCTAAATCATTAAGCTGCAACAATGTCAATCATCTCAACTTCTTAGTCTACCAGATTGTATTTAGTGTTATCTTAGTTGTAGCGTACCTTCCCTCCTGAAGCAAGAAAATAAAATTGCAGAATATTATATGAGGAGTGCACCTCCTCTGCAGAGGGGTGTAATAAATCTTCTGCTCAATAAAAGCAAAGGTACCTGTTTCTTTACACGCTCCCTTACCAATGCAAGTTGCATTACCATATCCATAATGACATTGGTCTTGATACTTATGTCCTTTGAACTTGCCATTTTCTCAACAGTAACATGATCCAGAATTGTCTCCAAGGAGCCAATTCTACTCCTTAAAAATTCATGTTCTTTTCTGAAGTCTAAGTAGTCCTTCAAATTTTATGTAAATAAAGTTTTATCAAATGACATTTAAAACTATAGTTTAAAATAAAAAAATAAATTAAATTTAATGGCCGGGATTAATGAACATTAAAGCACCAGAATTATTCCCTCCCCAAAAGAATCCTCAAAGTTACTACTGGACTCATTTAATTAATTTCTTCAAAAAAAAAATCTCTCTCCCAATCATGTAAATCAATAGACTACAATTCAAAAAAAAAAATCCAATCATTCAACATTAATGTTATCTTTAAAATCTTCTCCCAAAAACATGACCCTGTATTTTTCCAATAAAAAAGAAAAGAAGGTACAAAACTTGCTTCAATTATTACTAAAAGGATGGGATTTAACTATAATTAAATGTTATCTTTTGAATTTCAAACCAATGCATTTATTTGTGTAATATCATATTTACCCAAATAAATATAATCTTTTCTTAATAATATCTCAAAAGTTGTTATAAACTTTATCTTTATCACTGAAATTTTGGATAATCAATTATCATCAATCCCAATTTATTTCTATTTATTTTCACTTTTGGATAGTAAAATTTTGGATAGTAAAATATACTCCAAAACACCTACATTACTGATGGATTATAAATAAAAATTGTAAAATTCATTTTACACTTTTTATATATTTTTTTAGATTTTTTATAATGTATATAAATAAATCCCGCACATCACGCGGGTTTAACATCTAGTTATACTAAAAGAGAAACCAGAGAGAGCTTTCAAACCTTCTCCTCATATTGCTACGTAGGATAAAATTCTATGTGGCATTTTTATAAAAATTATCAAAAAAAATTATGCAATTACACTACAAGTCCTTAGGAATTTATAAAAAATATATTTTTTCACACTTATAATAATATTAATGGACGGCTAAATAGGAAATAAGAATAGAAAATAATTAGCATTGATTAATTTGTATTATGATGAGATCATAGAGTAATAGCTTTCCTGGTCATTACCAATTACCAATTATTTTAATATGGAAATAAGAATAGGAAATAAGTAGCATTGATAAATTTGTATTATGAGAAGATCATGTAATATTAGCTTTCCCGGAAAAGACTATGGTAATTCTCTTATTCGGGTTTAGACATCATCAATTATGGTTGATATAGAAAGTATACCGAAATAAAGGGAAAATGATTTGACGTTGATGAAGGTATCATAAGGAATAATTGCAATGATTTTAATTTGAATTTTTTTGTCCCGAATTCTACAAATAAAAAGAATCGGAAATAAAGGGCATTGATTAATTATTGTTATTAGCATATCATGTAGTATTTGTTTTTTTTGGTAATTGGGTAAAAGAAAAAAATGTATTTTGATTAGAAAAACATGTCATAACAACTTAACACTGATTAGGTAAAAGAAAAATAAAATCATAATTTTGAAAATCAAATTGCAATCATTACCGAAAATGTTGTTGCACGTGATACAGCCATAACTTAACAATTATATATCATATCATTTGAAATTTTAAGCATTATAACATTATCACTTTTTTGGACAAGAAAAAATTAAAAAAAAAATCTATACCATATACACGTAGTTTTGACACAAACCCTATAATTTCAAAACTATTTAAAAGAAACCAAAGTGTTGGATGCCAGCTACATCATCATCTCCAGCGACATCAATGTAAAACCTCTGCTCTTTCTTCCAAAATTTGATTTCTGAAATCAATCTATTATTTTCCTAGACTAATATTACTGTGCATTTTTGTTAGCTTATATCAATAATTTTTGTTTGAGATTTTTTCACTGAGTATGATAATGTGGAAGTTGATTCTTTAGATGGAGATCATTGTCTATCTACAAGAGATGCAAAGAGCCTCCATTCTCCAACCAAGACGGAAAGCTATTCCAAATAGCCAACGAGCAATTCCAAGATTTCAATCACGTTATGGTACATGTATTCAAGCTATAGATACCGATTTAAACATAAATTTAAAACATAGAAGCAAATGCAAATCCCTAAAAGATAACATTGTAGGTTTGATTTTGAATGTTGAATACCTAAATGATCCTGAATGATCTATAGATCTGATGATGCATGATTTTTTCGGTATGCTACTAATCGAATTTTTACAATATTCCTTAGTGCATTTTTTTTGTGTTGATTTCTTGAATAGGCTGTCCTGTACAATCATATAGCATCACACAATGAAGTCCAACATTCTATATCCGAAATTCAAATTCGAAACCTTCATGGTGACTGCTGCCTTTTTGGAGCAACAATTCTCCTTCCACCGACAACGAGGACATCAACAGATTTTTCATTCATTCGGGCCCAAGTTATAAATAAAAAGTAAAAAATTTGTTTAAAATTTCTTTGTTACTAGAGCATTGGGTTGTGAATGAAAATGAATATATCTTACTTCACTGAAATTATGTTTAAAAAAGTTGAAGTAAGTGAAGGTGATGAAAATGGCATTTTCAAAGAGCAAGAAGTTGAGGGTATAGTACTCTCAATAATGACACCAAGATGCTCTGTGGGTGACGAAGACGAAAGAAAACTGAGAAATTCGATAAAGAATGTGCGATTATGAGCCATTCAGGAATTTGGTAAACTTTTTATTGTGGACTACCGAACAATAATACAACAAGTTGCACTTTTTTATCATTGGTTTCGCCATGAGCACTTTGCATATGTTTTCTAATTAAACATAGAATCTAATCATTTCTTTTTTTTTCTTGACCCATATTAATTTTATTTTTCTACCCAAAATTTCATTAAAAATTTATTAATATTATATTAAACATCACTGCAGATTGAAGGAAAATGTTCACCTACTGATTATTGAACGCAGAAAATTGTCATTTTTGCCATGAACAATTTTCTTTTGCTAATGCACCTCCTTTTATTCCCTGCAAGATTTGACAACAATTTCATCACATGCACGCAATACTTTCTTGCAAAACTTAGTGAGCATAATAGTGTAAAACAAACTACAAAGTCATAAATGCTCATGAAAGCTTTCCTTGATTTATCAAAGATTTGAATTATTATAACTTAAGAAGAAATCATGAAATGGGTTGAAGCAAAAATATTACTATAACTTATGAAAAAACCCATTCCATAAAAACAAACAAAAAAAATCTGGGGAAAGAAATACTGACCATGTCTAGAGTATACGTTCCAAACCCAAACGATGAATAAAAAAAATCATCTTATAACCCCCTATAAATAAACTATGCTTCATTATCTCAAACTCCTTTCTGATACAATTTGCACTTCCAAAATATACTGCAACGCATATTTCAAATTCTTTGTTATGAGAAAAAAATAATAACAGATGAATATGATTTAATCCTTGACCTTATGTCGATCAAGGTCAAATTCAACCAAAAATTGTATATTCGTGCGATCTTTTTGTGGAATCCTAATTACGATCAAAATCATTGATGTAAGTATTCACAAAGGTCAAAGCAGCGGATCCAAAATTCTGCAGGTCACCGGAGCGACCGGAATCTACCGGATTTGGCCAGTCCAAGTTGGCAATAGAATCTTAAAATTTCCGAGCATGTGTTAACTGTACCTTCAATCTTGGGTGTTGAGATTTCTTTAAAAGTATTTCAATCAATCTAGAAGTAGAATTAACATTGGATTGAGTTCTTTGTGTTGTGAATGGAAAAATTCAAACAAAAATAATGGTACACATTTATTTGTGATTACGATTTTTCGAAGTTCTTTTGCTTTCCCTTATTTTAATTTTCTTTTCTTATTATTACATGAAGGGGGAGGTTGATTGCTCATAAGCTACAAACCTATATATAATATATATAAATTATCATTTTTTGTACTGCGTTCATGAAGTCCAAAATAACATTCTTTCTCACGTATTACAAAATAACATTCTTATTATTACAAAATAACATTGTTTCTCATGTATCGTAATTATCTGTTTATTCAATGGGATAAATGATTTGTTAAATGTTATATTTAACCTCGCGCATCGCGCGGGTATAACATCTGTTAAACTTAAACTAATTCAGAATTTATATTGATTTTAAATTCAGAACTCTCTCCCTTGTCCCTAATTTCTTCCGAATTCCTATCTATCCCACTGATTACCTCTTTTCTAGTCAAGGAACGTGAATTGGTAGAAAACCTTTAGGTTCCAAGTGCCATAAAACTATTTTTGCTATTAGATTGTGTTTTTCTACTCTATTGTCTTGAATTCAATGATTCTTCCTTTGACTTTCCCTTTCAATGTCTGAAAACAATTACTATCACACAAAAAAATTTGTAAACATTCTAAAAAGACTTCATATTAAAAAGTTTAGAAAACAAATAAATACTGGATTTTATAATTTATTATCTTTGTCTTAAAAAAATATTCGACATTAAATTTTAAAATTTGTAATATGCCTAGTACAAGTTTAAACCTCATTGTTGATAGTGAGAGTATAATTTAAGAGGTGGACTTTATGTATACAAATGAATATTGGCTTATACATTCCAACATTTATACTCAGTTTGTGAATTCATCCGAAAGTTTTAAAATTAGTTCTTACGTCTCAACATTATTAAAATTAGACAAATCCATCCCATGACCTGCAAAACAATAGAGTTGGCCTAGTATTAAAGGTTGAAATCATTTGGATCGCGTAATTTTTTTTTTCTTTTAGTTTATTGAAAAACAAACAAAATTAATACATGGAAAAATTTTTAAAAACTTAATTAATTGTTAATGAATCTGATATTTTTGTAAATCTAATTAATCTTAATTTGTTGAAGACAGTTAAGATACTTCACAAATTTTCTTTCCTTTTATTTTGGGTGCCGAAAATAAAAAACGTATATATCTTTGGATTCAAGAACTAATTAATTTTGAGTTTATTCTAAATTATAAGTTATTTAAGTTTGTGATGATTTGAATTTTTTAACAACTATTTAAGTTTTTTTGAGTTTTTTTGAATTTGGAAATTTTACTTGTTCTTAATAAATTAAACAAATGACCAAAATTAAGATGAAAAAGTAATAACAAAAAAGAATAAATATGTGAATGTGATCCAGTTGATTTTTACCTGTTATGTTATATTAGGTCACATTTGTTGTTTGCCAGTCATGGAATGAATTTGCCTAATTTTTATAACCTTGTGATGTAATTGGTCAAATTTAAAAGTTGAAATGAATTTGCAAACTTTTATAAATATTGGGATATATCTATTCATTCTTACGACATACTTTAATTTTATAAATGTGTGTGTTTGTATCTTAAATAACTTCATACAGTCAACGTTATATATTATGTGATTTTGATCTTATTCAATGATGGAGATTAATTGGAATTTCCTTTCAAGTTTCAGTATACCCTCTCAGTAAATAATGACAGCTAAATAAGCAATATCTTTTGTTTTTCTTAAAAAAAAAAAAAAGGAAACAATATAACCATCAACAACATATTTTCATGCATCTCCACTAGATTTAGGAGCCGTTTGTTTAGTCATCTGGAAACGAATTTGAATGATGGCTGAATGGATTCGAATGATGCTAGAATCATGAATCCAATCATGATGTTTGGTTTAATGTTTGGAATGGTTTCAAAATGATTTCTGCTGTTTGGTTGATATAATCATTCGGATTAGGAAACTGTTGAAATTCCATTTATCACATATATTTTATGGTTTTTCTTAATGTATTTGACATGTTTGAACGGAAGATATTTTTACATGTATTACAAGTATCATATTTGTAAATATATTTCATTATTATTTACTCTCATCAATGGCAACTATAATAATAATTTCATTAAAATATTAACAATGAATATTTTTATAAATCTAGTTTCAAAAGAAACACACTTGTAAACATACATAAAAGCAAACTACAAGCCAATTTTACATTCCTATTTCAATGGAAGTAAACAACTTGCTTTGTCTAACCAAATATATTCACATTACTTCAATAGTTATTGTTAAACATAATACCAATACACACCATTTTCGTACTTGGTCAACAGTAACAAAAATACCACTAAGCAAAGTTAAGAACTAAGATGTCAAAAGAATAACCAAAGTAAGGTTACATAGTTGACTAATATCACCAACAAAATAACTTGCTTCGTTAACCTACATCACCAAAAGAAGTCTCTTCAACAACTAAGAGACTCGGGATAAAGACAATATTTATTGAGTCACAAAAATTATTATCTCCATATTCAAGGACTAAAATGGCAATTACGCGGTGTTACAATCCTCAAGAGTGAAAACAGCCCCCCTTTTGAGATTTACGCGCCAATTCCTTTTTTCCCAAATCACAAAGAAACCACTGGCAGTGAAGAAATGTCAGTGAGGACAAAACTCAAACACCTTACCTTCAATCCAGCCAACAACATCCGCTCGCTTTCCTCCTACTTGAATTCACAGCCGCAGTCGTTCCGGCACCGTCCTTCTTCACCTCCGGCGAAAACCCAGCAAGAAGATCCGCATTCCCTTATCAAAGAAGACCCAATTCAAGTCCTTTCGGACCTCTGGGTCAAAACCTTTTCCCAACGCCAGTCCCCAAAGCCATTTTCCAACCTCACCGGTTTCCTCTCCAAGTTAGACCTCTGGGTCCTCGCTTATCAGCGGACGTGCGCCCACGCCACCGGAACCTTCCCGCCTCGTAATGCTTTTCACTCGAATGTTCTTTCCGGACTCGTATCTCTACGGAATGCTGTTGTGCAGAACAAGTTTTCGTGGAATTGCCGGACCCAGCAGTTCATTCGAGGTCCCAATGAGAAGCCCATCACTGCAGCGCTCTCGAGAAAACAGTTGAACGCGATTCTGAACTCCAGGAAGACGACGTTTCAAGATCGGGTTGTTCAGGAGGTACTTTTAATGATTCTTGAGCCTGTTTTTGAGCCGTATTTTTCGCCTAAATCGCATGCTTTTAGGCCTGGTAGGAACGCTCATACTGTAGTTAGGACTATTAGGAGCAATTTTGCTGGGTACTTGTGGTTTTTGAGGGGTGATGTCAGTGAGATTTTTGATGAAATAGATGTGAATGTAGTCATGGAGTTTGTTGAAAAGGCTGTGAAAGATAAGAAAGTTTTGAGTTTGATAAAATCTGGTCTAAAGGGAGGTGGTGGTACTTTTTCACATGAGCCAGAGGATGGGGGGAAAATGAAAAAGGGGGATCGGAAGAGAGCAAAGACGAAGAAGAGGATTTTAAATGAGAATGAGCCGAAACCAGACCCTTACTGGTTGAGGACATTTTTCAATTTTGCACCTGAAGAGGCTGCAAAGCTACCAGAATATGGATATTGTGGAATACTTAGTCCGTTGCTAGCTAACGTGTGTCTTAACGAACTGGACCAGGTCATGGAAGAGAAGATAGTAGAGTTCTTTAGGCCTTCTCAACGAGATTCGATATGGAGACATTCAATAGACGATGGTTGTCATAACCCTTCTTGGCCCGAATTTGTTCCATCAAGTGGGAAGGAGAAGACAAGGAAGATGGATTATATTCGATACGGGGGGCATTTTCTTATTGGAATCCGGGGACCAAGAGAGGGGGCAGTGAGAATTAGGAAGGAAATCATTGATTTCTGTGAGGAAAAATTTGGAATAAGATTGGACAACTCTAAAATTGAGATTCAGCATATCGCTAGGGGAGTTGAATTTCTGGATCACATTATATGCCGCAGAGTTATTTATCCTACTCTTCGCTACACAGGGACTGGTGGGAAGATTGTTAGCGAGAAAGGTGTGGGGACTTTGCTTTCTGTCACAGCCAGTTTGGAGAGGTGTATTCGCCAGTTTAGGAGACTTGAATTTGTGAAAGGTGACCGGGATCCAGAACCACTCCCTTGCACTCCAATGCTTTATTCGGGGCAGGCACATACTAATGCTCAAATGAATAAATTCCTTGAAACGATGGCTGACTGGTACAGATATGCAGATAACAGGAAGAAAATTGTTGGTTTTTGTGCTTATGTGATCCGAAGTTCTTTAGCTAAATTGTATGCGGCCAGGTATAGGTTGAAATCTCGTGCAAAAGTATACAAAATTGCTGCACGTAACCTCAGCCGTCCATTGAGAGAGAGCAGCAATAATTCTGCTCCAGAATATTCTGATCTTTTAAGGATGGGACTAGTTGATGCAATTGAAGGCGTGCAGTTTTCTCGCATGGCTTTAATTCCTTCATGTGATTACAGTCCATTCCCTAGGAATTGGGTCCCAGATCATGAAAGGTTGTTGCATGAATACATCAAGTTACAAGACCCGAAATTCTTCTGTGAACTGCTCAAATCTGTCAAAAAGAAAGGTCAAACATTGCCACAAGATCAAATTTCTGAGATTTTGTGGCACTGCAAGGTACTTGGTATCAGAAGCTATTTTAATGGTGCACAAGAGATGCCTGATGCTTCTACAACATCAATATAGAATCAGTTCATTTCTCAGAAGTGAATCTATTCAAGGTCCCACCTAAACTGACATTCTAAAAAAGGTAAATGGTGTGCTTTATGTCTGCAAAATGCAAATGCTTAACATATGTTTGGCATTGGGATGGAAACGAAGCTATGCTAAGAAATGTTGAAAAGAAGTTGGTAAACTGTTGCATCTTATGGAGACTGCAGACTTCACTTTTCAGGATTGACAATAGTGTGTGGGGGATCTTGGAATTCATGAGATAGATGCAGGGGAATTCAAGATCTTAGAGAAACTATAGCTCCGCAGTTGAATAGAATATATACAATGAGGATATCTTCAATGTGAAATAGATGTAGAATTTAATCTTCATTTTGCTTGTAAATACATATGTGCACATAATCCCTCAAGAGGATGTCTCTAACTGGTTTTAGGTTGAAATCAATGTTAGATGTTTATTTAATTATGTAATCTAAAGCAGAAGTTATGTAATTTCAATTAATGTTATGACACAGCTCGTATGAAAAACGTATTTACACAGGTCTTACGAAAAAAGTATTTACATTCTTCTATGTTGACAGTTTACTGTTGTTGAAGCCTTAAACTGCAAGATGATCCTTCCTTCTTAATTACCCTTACATGTAACATAGTTAGTTCCTAATGGGATGGGGATAATACTTATCAAGTCTAGTAGTGATCACTCACTAGTACTGTCGTCACAAATAAATGCTCACAGGGAATCGAACAATGACCCAGTGGTTGAGGTTGAGGCCTTGAGGGTCCCTAGGAAAAAAACCAGGTTCAAATGCCGCCGAGAACATGGGAGATTGACCAGTTTCTATATCTGCGCTGCAGATTAGTCCACTTCTTGACTTCTCTTTCCTATGCCACAATAGATCAGCAATCCTGCTATCTTGGCGGATGTATTCATGTTGCTTCGCAAAGCTCTTTATCTTTCATTGGCGGCTTCGTGCTTCACAAAGCTCTTTCTCTTGTTGAGTCCACGAATCCTGTAAACAGATGTTCAAATCCGATGGAAATTCCAAGACAAAAATATAACAATTAAGAACAGAAACAGAAGGGACACTGAAATTTATATTTACAAATCAAAGTCAGAGCAGTATAAAGAGCAGCGAGAACGACAAGAGTAAAGAAAAGAAAAGCCACATCCAGAAATTTGCACTCTTTATAAAGCCAACACCATAAACTAAAAACAGATCCCGACAGTTGATCAAGTAAAAAACAAAACAAAACAACTCAAGAGGTTCCCATGTCATGGAATGCTGATACAGCCTTCAAGATTACTCCCCAGCACCATCAAAGATGCATCTAAAGTTGCAGCTGACTCCTAGAAGCTGAACGTTGGTTCACAACATACTCAGAATATTCTCGAATTTGTTGGGTTCTGGGGGGTCAAGATGTATGCAGCCTCATCACTATATTTAAAACAGAGAGGCTGTTTAAGTATGACCCAAGAAGCATTGGAGCACTAGATGTATTGATTTCCAGCAACTTCACTAAAATTAAGAACCACTGGAACCTAATTGAGCCATTTTGATCTAGTCCATTATTAGCACAAAGCTAAAATAATGTTAATGATAACTCCTCCGGCTCCATTTGCAATGGTTCTCTTTCATGTGCTAAAATTACAGCGTAACCTCCACCCTACCATCTGGACTATTATTATTGAACCAACAGTCACAACTGAATCCAGTAAAGAGCCTCACTTTGCAATTAATACCGTAGGCAATAATTTATGAAACAAAATTTCAGTCTAGGAGCTGTAAGTTGGAAGGATCTGCATGGTACACCAAAATTAGTTTGAGATCTATGATCGATCCCACAGTGAACTGTCAAGCCATTTTCAAAACAATGTAGTACCTTTAAAAAGCGGAACTTTGCAAGCTGAACCTTGAATCAAATAACAAGCAAAGAGCCAGAGAAAACAGAGAAAAGAAAGAAATTTCAGATAATCCATGATGACAATCACACTGCTAGAGAATAAGGAAAAAAAATCAGAGATTCAGATGCATACTTGTGGAAGATCTTTTTGTCCTCGTAGTCGTATTCCTCACCAAGGCCATCAGAGGGATATTCAACTGATCCCTCAATGAGACACGTATGCCACTGTGCAGCTTTTCCTTGGGTTTGTAGAGTCGGGTTTCCGGTTTACCAACAACGGAGGCCGCGCCCGACGAGGCAGGTGGCCACAGGTCATAATGCACTCTTCGCACAACAAATCCACTTTGAAGTCTACTTATTTGCTCAGCCAATTGTCAGAATGTGTTCGAGATAACATAAGGACAACACTTATACCTCACAGGCCACTCAACATCTCTACCTCTTTAGGTGGTTCTAATTTGGAATCGGTTGCAAGCCAAACTAGGAATGCATTATAATGCACTCAAGTCACTTCAGAATCATTAAGAAAGTCTTCGTGTATTTGACTTGATAACGTTTCTTTGATTTCATTGCTCAAGATTTTCAAAACCAATGTTATATCCTCATATCGAGGTTGATAAATGTGTCCGCGGTAAAATGTCGTGATTGTTCCTTGCAATTCAATGAAACTCCAGCCAGGTATCTTTTTTAAACCAAGAGACTTCATTTGGCCCCATGCTTCACCCACACCATCCCAGTTGCCCATTGAAGCATAGCTGTGCGCAAGTTGCACATACTTCCCGGGATCTGCTGGGTTCAGCAAAGCAATTTGTTTTCCAACATGATCTGCTAGCACAGCCTTCCCTTCAGCTCGACAGGCATCTAGTAGAATGCCTAAAACATCAACTGCTGGTTCAGGGAACATCCTGCTATAAAAGTTATAAGCATCTTCAACCCTACGGGCTCGGCAGAGGAGATCCACGATACATCCGCAGTGCTCTAGTTCAGGTTCAATCTTGAAATCATTTACCATGGACTCAAACAAGCTCATTCCCTGGTTAACAAGCCCGTTATGGCTGCAGGCATAGAGAACTGATAGAAAGACGGCGGCGTTTGGTTTAAACCCATTTTGCAGACAATTATAATAAACATCCAAAGCAGCTTCCCCTTGGCCATGACTACCATATCCAGCAATGATTGTGCTCCACGAAACTGTATCATGCTGTGACATATTTTCAAAGCACTTCTTAGCTATGTCCAAGCTACCACATTTACAATACATGTCTACCAATGCGGTGTCAATCATTATGCATGGTCCAAGACAGCTTCTAATGATAAATGCGTGAATCCACCTTCCCTGCTGGTATGCCCCAATGGAAGCACAAGCTTGGAGAAGAGAGACAACAGTTATTGAATCAGGTTTCTTAAGAGCCATCCTCATTTCATTAAACAAGGAAAATGCTTCATTAAGATTTCCATTCTGTGCATGGGCGGCAACTATTGCATTCCAGGATACTACATCCCGCTCCTCCATCATACGGAAAACCACAAAACTCCGCTCTAGAGAACCACACTTAGCATACATAGTAATAAGAGAATTTTGGCAAGGAATGTCTAGCGGAATCCCTTGTCTCATGATGTAGCCATGAAGTGAAGTTCCCAATTTATGTGAAGCCACTTGGGCACAAGCTGCGAGTACACTAGCCATTGTAGCACTGGATGGCACCACTCCAGAAGATAACATTTGCCTAAACACTTCCATTGCTCTACTACCACAATCATTCTGTACTAGCCCCGATATAAATGCTGTCCACAAAACCATATCCTTTGCCCCCGCTCTCTCAAACATTCTAAGGGCATCATCCACATGACCATGTTTCAAATACATACTTATGATTGAAGTTTCAACATGAACACTTGATAGAAATCTGCTAGAGACTACCAGTCCATGTACAGATTTTCCCAGTCTCACCGAACCTTCTTTTGAAATTACAGGAACCAACGACGTAAGAGTCTGTTGATCAGGTTCAACACCTTCAGTTTTCATAGAATTCCAGAGTCCTAAAATTTCCCTGATGTTCCCAACAGAAGAATATATTGAGAGCAACGAGTTCCACGAAACCAAGTCTTTGTCATTCATCGAGTCAAACAAGTTTCTAGCATCGTCAACTGCTCCACACTTTCCATACGCACTCAGAATGCAGTTAAGCAAAACAAGACTACCATCAAATCCATATTTTATTACGGAAGAGTGCAAACACTTCACACAGCTACCCTCCAGAAAATTTCCCGAAAGCATAGTTACTATGGTCGCAGAAGTGGGTTTTATTCCTTCACATTGCATCTTGCTATACATGAAGAAAGATTTATCAATGTCATCCGACCGAGAATAACACCCAATTATCGCAGTCCAAGGAACAATATTTTTCTCAGGCATCGCATCAAACAGTCTCTGTGCAATTCCAGAACACCCAAATTTCGAGTAGAAAGTCAGCAAGGAAGTAGCAATATAAGGATCTGAACAAAGCCCAGAAACAATAACACGATTGTGGAACAACAGACCATGGGAACGGAGGTTAAGCGAAGTGCAGGCCTTCAAAAGACTCGGGTATGTGAATGCGTCAGGGGCAACATTGGACTTGATCATGGAACAATAGGTACTGATGACTTGGTGATGATCCCCTTTTATGGAAAGGTTGTTTATTTCAGAGTTGAATGACTTGGTAGCAGCCCTGGTCGTGGTGGTGGCGGTGGCGGCGGCGGAGGGAGGACCGTGAGGCGGCAATGATGGATTTGAAGGATGAAAGTGCAGAGGTTTAATCTTGTTTACTGATATTTCTGGTATATAGCTCCTCAGCTTATTCATGATCCCTTTAAAACTATATTCAGGAGTACCAGCCACCAGGTCGACGGTGGCCGGTAGTTAAAAGTAGTTGAAAAAAGAGTAGCCGGCGGGAAAGCTGAAGTTCAAAATGTTGGGGTTTTTCTGGGTTTTGGTGCCGGCGGGAGCGCAGAAATTTGGGGGATCATACTAGCGGTTTTGTTTTTTTTTTTTTTTGGGTAATACACGAGAACCCCCTCGTGCTTTGGCAAACCACACAAGAACCCCCTATAGTTTAGAAACTACACGAAAACCCCCTCATGGTTTGACAAAACGTGTAAAGTAACGGAAAACGCTACCTTTAACGGCGGATTGTAAATCACGCGCGTATAGAGGGAGGTGGATTTCTCTGTTCAGCCATCAAACTTCTGAATACCAACACTACCCCTCATGTTATCTTATAATTCTTTGGTTTTTAATTCTTTGGTTCATATTTTTTCCTTTTCTAAATGAAAAATTTTCCATTTTCTCTTCTTCTCTCTGTTACAAATTTACTTTAGGTAATTAAACATACTTTTTCCTTGTAATTATTTTTGTTTCTTTTATAATAATAACTAATGATTTTAGAACTATAAAATTTAAAAACGCTGCCATCACTGTGTATATGTTTATTGCGTTCATTTTCATCATATCTTCAAGAAAATAATCTGTTTTTCACCATTCATGGGTCACCCCAAATCAACAGCTTTATGATTATTAAAGGAAAAATAAAGAAAGTTATAGGCTTAAAGCCAGAAATTAGAAGGAATGAAAAAAATAATAATAATAAGGAAGAAATTATTCAAGAAACCTATATATGGCCTCACTTCAATTTAGGTTCTTCAGCAATTATTTTGAATACGGACTAAAAGAAAAAGGTGAAATAACAAAAAAAGAAAAGCTTAGGAAACTCTTGAGACCACCGAAGTCACCGCCGACTGTGAAATAAAATTACTTCTTGGCTTACGATCTTCAAAAGAAATCTTAAAAATTCATCAAATTTTGGAGCCGAATCCGATGATGAACTCAAATCCCACCATCTCAAACCTCAATCAAAAGCCCAAAATTTTTAGCTGGTGCCAGATCGGAGAAAAAAAATGTACATGACTACGAAAGCCGATGAAGAAGAATAGGAAAAAAAAACAGAAAAAGATGATGATGCTGGTGGCAAGACTTCTGGATATTCTTTAATGGTTGCTGTGGGTTTTACAACAATGGGCGCGATTCGGTCAGATCTGTCCATGGGAGAAGGTGAAAAGGGGAAAAAGATGAGCTTGAAACTTGAAACCCGGTGGAAGAAAAAGCGAGAAACGTAAAAGAAGAAATTGGGTTAAGTGTTCCTTATCAATCTTATTTAAGAAGGGGTAAAAGAGTCATATTAGCTGCATCCATTAGTGTTAGTATCTTCCATCCATTTAACACGTTTTAGCAAAACACGAGGGGGATTTCGTGTGGTTTCTAAATTATGAAGGGATTCTTGTGTGGTTTCCCAAAGCACGAGGAGGTTATTGTGTATTACCCTTTTTTGTTTTTCTTGAAAGAAATTTTCCATATAACTTTGATGAATATTTAAAATAAGTGTGATAGACAAATTTACTCTAATCTGATCTAAAATGACTAGCCGGAGTTTATGTATTATTAAAAGACATTTTGATTTCATCCTAAGTTTAATTTAGGATGTCTTTTTAATTGAAAAAAAAACCTAAAAAACATTTCATAATATGTAAGAGAATACCACAAACGTAAAAATATATTTTCAAGATTTTTTTTTTAATTAAAAAGACATCTTAGACTAAAACTAAGACGAAATCAAAATGACTTACAATAAGGACCAGAGAGGAGGGAGTACTGTATTACAAGTTTCACATAGACAAAAAGAAATAAATAAAAAATAGAATAAAAAAATTCCATGGAATAATATAACAGTAAAAAAGAAAATTGGAAAATTTGAACGTGTGCAAGGTTATATAGTTCAAAATTTCTCATATTAATCAGTCAGAAACATGAAAATCCGAATGGCTCAGCCTTACCATATGGAAGGCTTAATTTACCCCTAAAACTCATAAGTATCATACTATGAGAAAAAAGTTTTCTGCAGAATTGGTGTTTGCTAGGTATTGTTAAGTAGTACATTACAAGTATTACATCATACATGAGAGAAAAGCTTAAATTAGCAAAACTGCATTTGTATTTGTCTAGAAATGTCACAAGTACTTCGCCAACCATGGTAGTTCTTTGCTGTCTTTAAGTGCGAAAGTCACATCATCACTGCAATAGATCAACACAAAAATGAAGCAAAGGTGTCAAAAGAGAGTGACTGGCATGAACAAATCAACAAATTGTTTGGTGTGGCGACACATTAGCATTATACTTTGTTGCAAGAATCCAGTTCTGCGCAACTTCAATGAGCGCTATTGGGCCATATATTCCGTTCTTGGTTGAGAAAACCGATTCAGGCTAACAAGGATGTGGGGATCGAAGATAATGAAGCCATCATTCCATCTTACAACATAAAACCTCAAATGTGTTTTGAACAGAGACTTCTTTCTCTACGTACCATGATGGGAACCATTAATAAGCTGATCAGTTAATTTATCCATTGAGTTCTTTGCTATGGTTCATCAAAACTAAAAGCTAAAATGCAAAAACAAACAAGCTGGTCAAGTTTTCTGATTAACTATATCAATTAGAGAAACAATGGTTTTTGCCAACCAAAAAAGGGAAAATATATCTTTATCATGGACCTCTAAATGTCATTATGTTGGCAGAAAATTTAATTTCTTCTTTTCAGCCCATATAAATAATAAGGATTTAGCCAAATATACTCAGGCAGGGACTTGTGGATGGAACTGACCTTGGAAAGTTGAGCTGCAACTTTTGGAGTTTGTGTTTTCCTCCAGCTTCGCATAATATAATTCTACATTCACCAAGCTTACATCTGCAAGGAAATTGGAAACCGAGCATTAAGCTTTTGAAGTCCACTAGACTAAGTTGCAAACAAGTTATCTAACATAAATCAGTCAGTTTTTAGTAGTTTAATCAAAAACACTTCCTAGTAGACGAACAGACCAAGGGCAACGTCCATATCATAGAGGAGTTTTTCCATTGGCATTCTATCAGAAACAATTCGAATTAGCAGAGCTAATAAAGGTTCTTAAGCATAAATTCTATTTGCTTTCTATTAAATGTTAGACGAAGCAAAGAAGTAGCATTCTTCACATTCTAGGACTGGAAGCAAAATTTGCGCCAGGAAGGTCAAAGTGTTACTCTGGTGGTAGTTTTTTCTTTTTGTTTTCTTGAGGAATACGCCGGTGGAAGTTAAGAGTGCGTATCAATCATATATAATTTGGTTCTGAATCAGTATTTGACTCACAAAAAGAAAGTCAAATTCTGATCCTTACCCAACTCGCAGGAGTGTGTCCCATCCTGGAAATGCTTCTCCATTGCTAGTGCAGAGGCAAGAAACAGCTGTTGCCAACTGCATATAGAAACAACAAATTAGAAACATTATCCTGAAGAGAACTGTAAGCCTGTGATACGGAGATACAAACTTAGAAAATGGAATGAACAGGACTACATGAATAAGCAATTTTATACATTTGAGTTGTGGAATCTTCGAAAAAGTAAAAGTATAGTCAAATCCAAACGTTTGTCTGACTGATCAGTACCCTTCATTGTAATTGTTGCCATGCCTTAGGTACCTACAGTTTGCACCTTAGTGACCTCTCAGCCAAAGTACCCAGAATGGTACAAATATTTTTTATGATGGAAACATTTCCCCTCAGGTCTAATTATAGTCATCATTGCTAAGCATTATAAGATAGCCTGAACTCCCCCATTCCTGGACCTCCTTCTACTCTACTCTCCCAACTCAACAAAATTAAAACAATTAAGAAAAAAGCGAAGAAAATGATAATAGTCCTAGCTAGTGGACACTGGAAAATGTAACGACCACAGAAACAATATGGATGTGAACCATTATTCATGGAAAGAAATGTCAGTTTTAGTTCTTAGTGTCATAGATGTAATTTTCGTTTTTTACCTTTTCAAAGGTGGTTTCACCCATTCCAGTTTTGTATAGCTCATGTACCATTGCTGCCAAGAATATCTTACTCAGCCTTGAACAACTTTTCATCATCTGCAAAAGGGGAACAAAAATGTAACTATTTGCTTCACAGATACTTAGCCTCAGTTGGGTAATGAATTGAAACATGGATCAGTATTCCAGCATGTAGTCAAAAACTAGTTTAACATTTATTTATTTATTTATTTGTCCTCCACGTATTACTGCGACTGAGCATAGTTCACCCAAAAGGGATTGCTCTTATAATCATCAACTTACTTGAATATGAGGAGCCTGGAACATTTCCTTTATAGCTGCTTCAATATGTGTCACGCCTACTAGATATTTTCCTGAATGCACAGAAAAAGTGAGATTCATCATCTAAGTGCAAAATTAATTTCATTATTTTAGTTATTGCCTAAGCATCAGAAGAATTTAATTTCTTTATCTTAGTTATTGCCTAAGCATCAAAAGAATTAAAGTTCAGCATTCGGTGTCTCCAGGTTAAAGATACTATGACAACCTCTTGCAAGGCAAACAGTTTGGTTATTCGTAGAGGAGTATCGCTAGCTACACTGGAAACAAAAAGAATTCATGTCTTGGAATGAGTTTCCACGTTCGGATAGGATAAATATGTTGATCCGTCTTTCCATAGAGATTTTCTTTGATTATGAAAGCCTGGATCTAAAGGTAAACTCTTTCACCCTGACGAAGCTAAAAGAGAGAACATATATGCCAAGCATTGAGATAGTGCACCCTGCGTTGGCAGGAAAAATCTTCATTGCATCCCAAACCTTTTTTTTTTTCTCCAATAAGGGGTTTGGGTGGGAACTGGAAGACAAAGACATAGCAAAAGAAATTTCAAAGTTTGGATTTCTAAAAGTTTTAGATATAGGATGCATTCACTGAACTTAATAATGAGTACGAGAGTTTGTGCCAGGCCACCTTTTTGGTCATGTCCTTTAATTGGTCCTTCCTAGGTTAATTTTAGTGTCTAGCTTAACATCACGTAATAAATACATCACTGACCTTCAAAAGGATAGGCAAAAAAGGAGAACAAAAAAATCTCGTTTATCTAGTAGCTTAATTCACACACACACAAAAAAAAAAAATAAATAAAAAAGCAAAGCAAAGCTTATTTCATGTTCTTAGATCTCTATGGATATTATCCTGCATAAGATGATTGCTAAACATATCTAAGAAATATGGACACTTGGAACACACATCGGAGATATTCTGGCAAAAATACGTCCAAATAGCAGAAATAAATTACACTGTTAGAATAAAGGATTACCTGTAGCTGCTCCTTCAGTAACTGACTCTAATCTTTTGGAGTGATAATCTGCCAGTTCTGCAGCTTGTCTGCATATCTCCAGCACGCGCCGAGCATCTCCAGAAACAGCAGCAACCTACATTTTAAAACAGCAACACAGACAATGAAGAAAGTTCCAAATTGGGTCAATCATTATTGTGAACTTAATATGTATCCGAGCATATTGATAAACTGTGTAACTGTAAGTAGTACCTTTCTAGATGCAAATTCAATTGCTGACTTTTCAAAAGCATCAATCCCTTTGGTTCGACTATGTATGATTTCTTGAAGCTGCTGATAGTTATAGGGCCCAAAGCAAAGCCTTTGTATGCCCATACGACTAGAGATGCGAGGAAGCAACTTTTCTGGAAGGTCCATGGTATTTGCTATCCCTGGATAGATGTTTTGAATGGAGCTAAATTAGTTTGTATCAACCAATGCTAAGCATTTGGCACTTAAAAATCTGCAGTCCTACCTATTACAATCAAGTTCGAATGTGGTTTTGTTGGCCAATCAAGAATGTTGTAGAGAACCTGTGATTTATGAATCAAGATACATTAAGATGTCATATAAAAACTATTCTAAAGAGCAATGAAAATGTTTTAAAAACTCAAAGCTCCTCAACTTACCGATTGATTTCTGGTCACTAAAAGATCAATTTCATCTATAAGTAATATGCAAGGCTTATCCTTCATTCCACACTTTTTCCCATTCGAAAACCGCTCATTCAAGAATTGAAGAGCCTTCTTCCAACTAACTCTATGCCCAGTTAAACCTTCATAAATAACCTGAAAAGATATCGAAGAAATGATGTCTACAGAAATAAGAAACATGGTCTACAATGCAAAACAAGTCAACCTATCTTAATCCTTACTTTATAAATATTTTCTGGTGACGCTAGCTTAAGGCCATTGATCTCCACAAAGCAATAAGGCTTGAGACTCCCTGTGTCAACTTCATTTCTTAGGTTCCTTATTACTGCAAGTACGCTCATGGTCTGCTGGCACAGATGAATATGGAAAAGCATTTAGAGAACAACAGTGAGAACAAAATTTCAGGAGCAGCAGAGGTATCTGTTTGATCTTACTTTTCCAGTTCCAGGAACACCATGAATATAAAGACATCTACCAAGGCACTGATCATCACCTATGGCTCCTTTGATAAATGCAGCTATCTCTTCCATTTCTCTACAAGAATCATCACCGTCAGCTTATTAATTGATGAATGTAACACACTGTACAGCAGATGACACTAGTTACTCAAAGAAAACAAAGAAAAAGAACAAAGAGAAGACTTACTTGTTTCTACAGGGAGGAGACTTAGGTAAAGATGCTAACAAAAGCATAGATTTGGCCTTTTCAAGATCAGTCTGTTTATGACATCTTCTATGTTCTGGTATTTTCTTAGCCCCAATCTTTTGGAGTCCAAGGAATTGCCCTTTCCGTGAGTTCTGCGTTCATTTATAAGAGATGATCAGCTTAAAGTAAATCCAACAACAGTTAAGCAATTACAATTTGCTTCAAAACAGCAATGCATATCTTACAGCAGCTAACAAATGACCAACTGAAGATCCAGTGAGTGGTCTTTTTCTCTTCTCCTCTTCATATTCTATGTCATCTTCTTCTGAGACGGAACCATTACATTCACCATTATTCCAGTCCTTGTCACTGTCAGCTTCTTCATCATCCTATTATTACGAAACTATGCATCAGATCCCTGACATCTGTAAAAAAGATGAGAAAATACAATGACACAATCTTTGAGCTTCAAGGGCTACTAACCTGTTCAGTATTTGATATTTCTGCCAAGCGCTTGAAACTGTGCCAAAGGATGTCATATTCATATTCACAGAGAAACACGTCATCTCCTTCATTATTAGCTTTCGAAAATTCGTTAGGGGTCATGACATAACAATGTCTAATGATAGACTCCATCTGCAGAAACAAAAACTAGCTCAGATAATTGGAAGCCAGGAATATCCAGTTTAAAAGAAGCAACTCCTTGAAATCACCACACCATTTTATTAATATAAGGATTGAAATGATTTCCCTAACAGGAAGATTTTGTACACCTCAATTTAACTTTGGACCATTGATCTTCTCGAGCTCACATGTAAATTTGCCAGATTCATGGTTACTATCAAAAGGAACTCCAGACAACTACTTAGGATACTAAATGACTTGCTGAACACAAATGTAACATTGATATATCTGGAAAGTTCACGGAGAACTGATTCATGATTTGACAACATTAATCATGTTATCATGCAAGACTCGCCAATGTGAAGTCAAATTCCTAGAAAGGCTAAATAAGTAGCGCACATAACAAAAATAACAAGGCATGGTGGGAAAACATGATTACCTCAACATCAGCAAAATCATTAGTTCTATATAGCTCCCTCTTCAAATTGTGAGGCTGTCTTCCCGTAGCTGTTTCCTCGGGGATAACATACCAATGGGCTCGAAACCAGTATGTGCCATCCACTTCTTTCCATAAACTATACAATTTGTTGAATTAGAAAATGATATGCTTGATAGCTATCAACAATCCACAGAAACAGAAGCAAAATAGAACATGTAACTGCACAAACCTCTCGATACGGGCAGCCCACAAATCACTTGAAAGCAGCTTCTCTTTTGCCGTCCTAGCTCTCTTCTTTCCAGGAGGTGGAACAGGCAATTGGACATTTTTCCCCATCTTTTTTGCCTCACAGAACCCACAAATCCAATCCCCTTCTGGAACCTCCTTCAAAGGAGGCTTCAAACACTTCAAATGGAACCCTCCTAAGCAATCGTCACATTCAAGCATCAGAGCCGTCCCAGCTTTGAAGCAAACCATACATTCCTCCACTTCAGGGTCCTCGTTATCTGATTCGGCATCCTCTCTCCTCTTTACATAAACATCATCCCCAATCGAAAACTCACCCCCATCATAAGCAACTTTTCTGTAATACACTCTTTTCTTGCCACCCTTTAAGGCTTTCTCTTTCCCTTTACCCATAACTTTCTGCTCACTAATTTTTCTTTTACGCCGCGTTTCGACTCGATCCGGTGAAATCGGTGATATTGGCTCAGTGGCATTTTGGGGATCTTTGCGAGCTGATTTTTGTGGGGAGTTGGTAAAATTCAGGGATTTGCGTCCAGATCTGACTGAGGAAGCCGGACGCCCAAGTGGAAGTTTAGGGGAAACAGTGTCCGTGGAAGGGGTGGCGAGTCGGCGGGATGAACGGCGGAGAGGGGTGGGGTTCTGTGCTTGTGGAGTCGCTGGGACTGAAATGGTGTTCGGGGAAGGGAAATGCTTTGTCTGATTAAGGGATTGTTTGGATTTCTTAGGTGTTTCAGCCATGGGAGCTCTAGTTGATTCAGGGAGATGAGAGAGTGGCGGAGGAGCTGCGGCGGCGCGGCCGCTGTTTGTATAATGTATTTAGGGATTGGGTTTAGGTAAAGGCTGTAAGCTGCCGGAGTTACTGAGCTGGTCAGTTAGTGACTAAATTTGGCGGGAAATGACACCCTGGATTTGGCGCTATTTTTTGAATACCTCTGATGCCTTTTGAGCGTTAAGTTAAGTACTCTTCATCTTTTGCTCCCAAACCTTAATTGGTGTGGGGTTAGGTTGGAATTTGATTGACAGACACAAGAATTTCTTCATTGATTATCATATGAATCCATATAAAACATCATTTCTTTTAGCATCAAAGAAATTTTTATTTTTTTTTTCAATTACAAATGTTGTGACTCATAACATATGACTCCAAACGTCTTGGAATATTTAAAGATTTTAGAAATACAAGCTCTGATGAATTGTAAAGTAACAAGTCAAAATCAGTTATTAATTAGTTTTTCTTCTATAGTTCTATTCACACTATTAGTTTACAATTATGCATAATAGATTATATATATATATATAAATATATAGGGAAATTTTATGGTCTAGTCAGTGCTTTTTGACTAAACCATTCAGTTAAAATCACATGTAATTAAAATTCGACATGCCATATATAACTATAGGGTGGGAAGTATCTTAAATAAACCCTTACTGTTAATTAAATGATTATATAATATGAAAACACAAAACAATCCTTATATGATTTTTTTAGTGCTTAAAAGTTTCTAAACCGCCAATCTTCTTCATGTTCTTCTTCGCGTTCAGAATTGTCGTACAAAAATTATTCTTTTTTTATGCTCAACTTTCTAAAATCATCTTTCATTTGTTTAATTATTATTTTGTCTTTTTTTTTTTCTCAATTCCCTTTTCAGGAAAATGGGAACAAAGATTAAAATCTATAACTATAGGGGGAAATTATGGCAAAATTTCTTAATTTGTGAAAAAGCTTTAGATGCTAAATTTTAATGGGTCTATGAATTGTAATTATTTTAGAGATAATTATGTATTCCTTTCTTGGGTTGACATGGTTGGGTGGGATGATTAGGAGATTAGGATGGGGATCGTTATTACCCTTTTTTTTCATATATCATTTTTAAAAGGATTATTCCTTGAAGAATGTTCGTAATTGTCAAAGCGAAAGGTACATGTGAAAGAAAAAAGAAAGAGAGAAAAAAAAACGGTAATATGGTAATTTTGATTGTAACTTGCAATAAAAAAATTATCATGTGTAATGACTTTATTCTAGTATTATGTTGCCTTTTATTTAATCCTACATTTAGCATTGTTTCTTCCTTATCCAATGGATAAGATTATTAACTGAATCATTCAGTCGACTGGACCGTAGTCGCTCCCATATATATATATATATATTTATATATATATATATATATTTATATATATTTATATATATATAGGAGCGACTACGGTACAGTCGATTAAATAGTTCAGTCACATAATAATGACCATTAGATTAAACAAATCAATTACAACCATTAGATTAATGAAGACTCGTCATAATACAAGATAGAGTTTCAAACACCGTATAATTCTCCAAACAACTAATAATTTGTAACCTGCTCAACCAGTTATTGTGTTATTATCAACTTTTTCTTTCTTTCTCTTCCACATCCTCAACGATTGAATATCCATATTACTATTAATTTTTTTTTATCACAAAGATCAGGAGGAACCTCATTTAATTAAGGAAGTATTTTGAATACCAAGATAAACATTTCCCAAAAAGAAAAAAATAGTTGACTCTGCCATTAAACTACGGATAAGAACATGGACGTTAAACTAATAGCTAAATTGCAATATGGGATCAATTACTATTCTAAGAGTTACAATTTCCATTTACATGAACAATGATTTTGAAGTACAACCATATTCCATTTTTACCAAAGGGTCATCCACAGGAACAAGCAGAAGTTAAAAAAAAAAAAAAACTTTGAATGTTTTCGTAAAAAAAAAAAAACTTGTGAATCGAGACATTGGATCAAAACTACGTGAAGCAGGATTACTGGAACTTTTGTCTTCAACCAAAAATAAAAGCACATGGTACTTCATTTATTATTTCAATTTCTTCCAAAAGAAAAACTAAAAAAAGCCACCATTTTATTTGCAGTACTATCAATCTATTTTTCAACAATGTCCTCTATACTTGTAAGTATTTTCAAATAACCATCACTTTGGAAAAGCCTATATCCATATAAATTGCAAGATAATTGTAAGTACCCCCCAAGCAGACACAAATCGATCAAATCCATGTACCACAGAACCTCTATGCAAAATCACGGTGAACGGAAAATTCAAAACTCTCCATCAAGATCAACTTCTTCTATTTCAGCTCAATTAATTCTTATTCTTATATAAGAATTATAAATTCAGAAAAGATCCGTGAGATGTGCCAGGCAATATAAACATCACCCACATACATCCAAAATTTTTCTTGGAAGTTTATTGATGATGACAATAAATTTTTACTTTAAAATTCGAAACAATTAGGAAAAAAAAACAGAAAGGAAGAGCTTCAGAAATCAAAACCGAAAAATAGTTAGAAGAAAAAATAGACGAGCTTACCAATCCAAAATAAGTTTAGTTTTTCCCAAATGATCGCCTGTATATATAAAGTACCATAATTCCCATAAATCATGCAAAGATGAGACAGACGGTTTGGGTGGTGAGATGATAATATATGACTAAAAAGCTTCACAAAACAAGCCAAAGAAAAGAAACAAAAAGTGTTCGACGGAATTACCGGCAACCGTAGGCCACTTAATTGATTTTAGTTATTGGGGGAGTATGAATGCATTAGGATGTTACGCACCCCATAAATGTTTTTGACGTGTCAAGGTTTTATTGGTTAAGATCCCACTGAATGGTTCAGTTAAAAACAACAACTGAACTGTAGAATTTCCCTATATATATATATATGAAAATTCTATGGTCTAGTCATTAGTTTTTTACTGAACCAATAAGTTTTAGTCCATCCAATGAAAATTTAACATGTCACATGTAATTATGAGATGCACAACAACATAACATATACACCTCAATTGTTAACCGACCCATCAAGTAATTTACTGAATTTTTTTTTGAAAAACAATCACTAAGATGAAATTAAATTAATTTTTACCTACTGTTTGATTGATTTATTGGAGACTTATCTGATTATTTATTTTTAGTATTAAATTTTTTGTTCAAAAGGTAAATTCTGATTACGAATAGTTTCACACTTTTGTTTACATTTTTTTTTAAAAGACTTTTAAAATTTCACTTCTTTTTTTACCTTGATGATGTGGTAAAAAGGAATTTTTTTTTACAAGGACACTTCAAACTTGCTTTTAATCCCACCAATGGCATGTTTAGGCTTTAAACACTTGAGTAGATTCTTTCTCCTTTTTGTAAACCTCCAAGGCTCACGGATGACTACAGATAGCATATTTGAATAATTCCTAAAAAATACACATAATAATTCACTAAAAGTTTTAGATCAAAAATATATTCGGCCATCACTAATATATATAGTCAGGAAGGAGATTCTGATGCCGAAAATGAAATCCGTTAACACTTTAGAATTGGCCAAGAAATTAGGAGATGTCACGGAGCTGCAAATTGGCGTCAAGCACAGCTCGCGTCTTGTAAAATCGAAACCCAGAAAGGTAAATTTGGAATTTGCCCTAAGTTTAGAATCTGTAACCAATAATTGGTGGCACTTGACTTTTGTTCCACTTGCTACCAGCAGAGCTTTTTCACCTTCGAATTGGTAGAAAGGTATTTTCGTAAAATAAAAAATAAAAGGATAAAACAAATCTGTTGTTATAAATCCCAAAACTAGATCTAGAGATCCTTCAATGAAGTATATACAGATCGGCGCGCACGTCTTGATTTTTTGCTGCAAGGATTTCTTGAGGATTGGGATTGAAATGGATATACCATGGACTACTTTGTAGATTGATTTGATGTTCTTGAGGCAGCTAAAGAGTTTAATGTTTATCCAATAAATTTTTTTTCTCTAGATAATTCACATGATTGATAGGTTACCAGTAATGATATAATTATCATGTGTGATTGGGTGTTCTAAAATTTTAGAACACCTTTTTTTAATGCAACGGTTGATATCAATCTTAATCATCTGGCGGTTATTAAAATAAACTGAACTATTAAGTTGAATGGACCATAGTCACTCTATATATACATATGTATATATATGTATGTATGTATGTGAGCGACTATAGTCCAGTCGACTATACCATTCAATCAAATAATATTAGCTGTTAGATAATGAAAACTTCATCCTAATCGTACGATCAAATAAAAGGTACCATAATCCTAAAACAATGGCACATGATTTCCTCGACAACTGCCTAACAATAATGAAAGGACAGTGATAATTTATAATAAAATAGGATAGTGACTTGTGAAAAGACAAAAGAAACCATCCTCATAAATATGTACACTTCAATTAATGTAAAAATATAATTTTGTTACGGAAAAAAAAAATTTCAACGAGAAAGTGACAAAACAAAATAGGGGTCATAATACTCCACACCAGTAACTATTTTTTGTCAGTATACTTATCATTTTCCACGACCTAAAATCAAAATGACCATATTACATCTTTCTTCTTTTTTTTTTTTTTGCTTTTTTAATTAAAAAAACATATCTTCATCTTCAAAACAACATTCATCATCTTATTATAGGTATTATAGAGGTAAAAATGAAAGATGAGAAGCTGGAGGAGATTATGAAAAAAGATTGGCAGAATTATGAATTCCAAGGAAATAGTAAAAATGGTGGGAGAAACAGAATAGTGTTAATGTGGCGAAAGGAGGAAATTAGGTTGCAGATTCTAATAAATGAAGAACAACTTATGCACTGTGATGTTGACGATAAAGTAAACAGAAGAAAATATAGACTGACAGTGGTATATGGGGCGAATTCGAAAAATGACAGAGCTG